TATTTGTGCTTTTAATTCCCCTCCAAATCTTATCTGTGTTTGTATGATGAGTTCATTTCCCCAGAATGTCCCTTTCCACCCTTCGTTTTGGGTCCAAGCAGGTCACAGAGGCAGTGTGGCTAAAGTAGGCAGGGCTCTTGGAGAAGACCTCGACATACAAAGAATGTGAGCTGGAAAAGACTGATATCCTATAACTGCAAGAGAACTGCACAGCCCTGCAGTCTGCTCAGGTGAACTCTACAGTGTGGATTCTCAAGGGCATCCCTCCTGCAGTGAGTAGAAAAAGGCAAGAAGTGAACATCTATCACCCCCTCTTTCTCATGGGACAGACCAATGGACAGTCTTCAGGTGTAACTTTTCATTCTCCAAACATCAACAGCAATCATGGAAACATCTTAGCAGGCATCCATCGTCAGCCAACTGCTGTGAGTGGTCTCCTAAGACCTGCATCCCCAAGCCATATTTTCCTCAGTGGAGAAATACCATTATAGATTGTTTATCACAAAAGGCAGCATGAGCATCTGACCATTTGTTTCATTGAAAAATATGAATTTACTCTGTCATATCCTGGTGCCAACATCTCAAACACAGATTTCCTCTCATCTCTTCTAACCTTGGGCTATCAGACAAGACTAGAAGGCTGCAGTTGTGTCACTGAGACAACTCATTCACTGAGACAACTCTGACTAGCAAAGCAATAATAACACTTTGCATTCAGCTACAGAAATGCTCCCCACATCGAGCCAGGCTGAAGTTTTCCATGACATAAATGAGATTCCTCCCTGTGAATGAAATTAAACGAAGTTTTACTCTTCAAACAGGGAAAATCAATTTGAACTTCCTAGCAAAGACTGGATCCTCCAAGGGAGCTGAACTCATCCTCAGTCTTCAGTGCGTTCTGTGGTGTAAAAAAATTACTACCATCAGCAGTGGTGGAAATGGGAATGCTGCCTGCCTCTCCTGTCATCTTGGTGGCAATCAAGCTTCTACAGCTACTGAAACTTACCCAGCAGTCAAGGAGCCTCCCTGGATATATTGATTAAACGTATGCTGCACAGACCTGATGAACCTCCCCTTCAGGCATTTCTGGGTGCTGCTTCTCTGCACAGCCATTACAGCTGTCAGCAAAGCAGCCAAAACCCCCAGGGAACTCAAACCTCTCAACATGGTCCTCCATCTCCAGTGTTCCACAGGGATGAGGTAGGATTAACATATCTCTTCTCAAGAATTTTCTACTTAAACTTTCATTTGAATCTGTTTGTTAACACATCTTACTGTTTTCTTCCAAATCTTTATCCAGGAGGTTTTCTAAGCCATGGGTATTTCACAGGGCTTTGATACTATCAGGACTATACAAAGTGTTCAGTCTTTTTGTTTCCATCTTTACAGCTCTGAAAAGCCACATCATCCCTTCTCTGAACTTCAGCACGGATTGCATAACAGCACAAATATCATACAATATTGACTGTTACATATTGCCCTTGAAAGACAGAGACTGGTTCTCCTGGAGTGCAAATTTTATCCTCTCCTGGCTTCCAAAGCACAACCTGTTACAAAACTAATTCCTTGACTTGATGGCAGTATCAGACACCAAGTTTAACATGTGGGACAGTATGGAAGTCCAACAGGACTTGGGAGGGTTATGATCTTCGTAAATAGCCACCAGTAAACCTTACTCCCACCTACCCAGGCAGAGCATGATGAATAGGAACACAAGTTACCTTCTGCTGTGCTCTCTTGAGATTTTAAGTATCTCTCCATTGAATAAACCTGTCTTCTTTCCCAGACACTTCCTTCCCTGGGATCCTGACTTCATACTGGGCATAAGCTGTGCCTTTCTCGTGTGTGCCTGTAGGGGCTTTAAGGAAGCTCACAGGTTTGCAGCAGGTCAAGCAGTGTATCTGTTTAAAATTCCCTGTTCTGGTACACACCGAGCATAGTTAAAATGAGATACATGCAGGAAGCAGCATCCTGAGGAGCTTTTCAGACACCCTTCAGAGATCACTCAGTCTTTATCCTACTGAATCTTTACTTGGACTTCTAGAACATGCTCTTCTCTTTCTTGACCTCTTCTGCTCCTTAGCATCTCTATTACCTTTTTAAACATAGTGACATCAAAAGGAATAAAAAAATATTACCCAAACAGTTTCAGTGCAGTCATCCTCTTGAGAGTCTTTACACCGACATATCCTGCCTCAGATATTTCTCTCCCCACTCTTGGGCTGCAGGTTCCCTTCTACATCACTATAAATACAGCCCTGGACTTGTTTGTGATTTATACTTCAGATCCCTTTTCCATATGATGGAAGCTGCACAGAACATCATCTCTGGCTGATGTTCTGACTGTTTTGGACCTTTCTCATTCTGTATGTGCATCCTACTTGTGTCCCAAATGACAAGAGCAGGGGTAGAAGGCTGGAAGTTCCTTTGCAGGTTAGGCCACACGTAGGAGAAGAGACTGCACGTCTCTTCTTTAATTAAGCACTACAGCCAAGGGTGCTTTCTCTTAGGTGGTTCTTCTCCAAAAGCTCTTTGAATGACATTAAACGGAAGAGGATTTGTTCTTCTACGTTATTCTGAGATTTGTAGAAATGAAATCCTGTCCACTTCACGTGGGCAAGAGACACTGGCTTTAATTCCAAGTACCTGTCACCATGCCTCCATCCCTGGGAACTTATGTGACTACTGCATTCTCAGGTGTCAGTTGCCTGTCCTTGTCCTAAAATTGGCATACCCACATCACTTGCAAGGTTGAAGATTTCTCAGGAAATCTGGCAGTAGCTCTTTTGGCTTTTTAGTTAGGAACGGCCACACTTGAAAGTTCCACTAATGGGTTCTCACATATCTGTGCTTGAGTCCATGTAGTGAGTTTTTGGCAAAGGTGGAAAATGGTAGGACTTAGTTCCTTTCTGATACCTTTGTGGATATCAGAAAATGTATTCATGTATCAGAAAATGTATTCAGCCCTTGGCTGTTGGTTGATTTCCCCCTCATAAGCTCACGCACTATGCACAAGCATTTCAGGAACCTCAGCCCACAGTGCCACAGTTCGTACAAATACCACCAGCCAGCATTAGCAGAAACTTCCCCATGCTGCTTTTGAGCCTCTACCACAGGCAGTGATATAATTTGCTCTGTATTTGACCCAACTCAAAACGCAGGCCAGGGAGTAAGAGAGGAATAAGTCAACTTCTGCTTCCCTTTCTTAGCAGTGCCAAAGTTACTCAGAAACTTCGGGTTTACCACATGATGCCAGTGCCTCCAAATTGAGCAACCCATATCAACCTTATAAAGTCATATCCTCTTATACATATTTTTTTTACTCACTATTGCTATTGTCTGCACTTTGTGATGCAATACTCACAAATATCAAAGTGACAATTAAGGCGTGATATTCTACAGTAACTCAAAAGGCTTGTTCAGCCTGTCAGTCACAGATGCACCAACACTGCCAGCCAGGAAGGATGGAGAATCCTGAAAGGTGCTGGAAATTTTTAGGCTTCCTTCCGTTATTTTGAAGGGCCTTTGTGCCTTCTAAGAGGAATGTAGGAACTAGCAGATTAAGGTTCCTTCCACTATTAGAAAAGATGACTTGCAAAACTAGAAAGAGGAAGGGGGATGGGACAGAGAAAGTCTTTGCTGGAAAGATGTTTGCCTAGCAACACAAAATCAAAATCTATGCCTGACCTGTAAGAAATGTCTCTATGGGCACTGCTCCTTTCTTTGGTATTCAAGCCAACTTTTGCTTGTATGTGATTTCAAAACACAAGAGCTAACAGGTGAAAGAGGAGAATAAAAGCAATGAAAGCTGTCATTACCAAACCAATGAGTTAACCCAAAAGGCTATTACATGATTAGGTGTGCCTTGGGTTTTTAATTGTTCCTTTTTGCCTATATCACCAAATAGACTGTGCAGCTAAACCACAATGTTATTTAGGTAAAACAGTGCCAGTTGGTTACTGCAGCATCCTTGGAGAGCAGGAGCATGCTGCAGGAGTCCTGCATGGCACTGGAGGGGAATTCTGCCATTGGCAGAAGAAGAAATACATCAGTTTCCACTTTGCTAATGTAGTCATGGAAAGCGATGACAGACAGGTTTGGCATATGGGGCATATGGTAGAGTTAGGCCTGAAGGATTATGTTACTACTGAACTGAAGGATTCCTGATAAAGATGGGTTTATTTAATTTTCAATTTGCTTCTTACTCCTAAGGATATTTGCAGGCTTGGGTGTATTTTAGAATTGCTCTCAGTATTGGAAATGGCCCCAGAGGTTAATCAAGGAATGTCAGGCAGAGTGTTTGCAACAACTAGACTCTTCCAGGCATGACTGGGGCTCAGCTCAGCTCAGCCTGGCCTCCAAGAACACAGCTTTGCTGTGAGGTGAATGAAGGTACAGCAAGCTAATTAGCTATACCAACCCACTTTCCACAGCTGGTGGTGGGTGTTTCAGGGTTGCCAAGAGCCAGTTAGACTCTCCCAACCCATTGTCTCACCCAGAACTACGTGCAAGGGAAGGGGGATATATAAATAGGAAAGTGTTGCTTTAGCACTGGGATGTTATGGGTTTACAAATCAGATGGATGCACTAGAAGCTGGCTGGTCCCTGCACAGACGTGGCCTGGATCTGAGTTGGAGAGCTAAATCAGCCCCTGTATTGAACTTGATAGCAGTGATTAAAGAAACATTTTAACAATATCGGTACCTCCACTGCCTGGATGCCAGGATATCCAGCACTCAGGAGATCCTGGGTGTGATTCACATGTGGTGGTAGTGGATAGAGCTCACATCAAATTTGATGGCAGTTGTACCTACCTCTGCCATGGCCAGCGTTGATCCTGGGCATCCTAGGGAATAAGCCCAGCCTCTTGTGCATTTCTTTCAAATTCCCTTTTGCCCTCTTCTGCCATTTTGTTGCTCCTGTGTTAGCCAAGACCTAGTTTACTAGGGCTCTTGATTGGAGACTTATTACAGCTTATTTCTGTCTGCCTTTCTTTAAAGCCAGCTGAACATACCCAATGCTCTTCCTCTATGGTAAGACCGAAAATACAGACCACCCTCCCAGCTTCTGTGACACTCTTTCTAACACACTCCTTTTTTCTCTTCTTCGTGATCACAAGTTCTCTCTCCAAGCCCAGCCTAGTTATTTGTGCATGAAGCTGCCATGTCGTGTATTGCTGTGAGTCTGGTGTTCACATGAGCTGTGAATATGCTGCACATGTGTATTTCTTGTGCATCCTGAGCTTCCCTTTGGTCAAGTTAACTGTCGTTCTGCCTTCTAATGAACCACCAAGAGAGAACCAGACCTGGTAAGATTTCTTGTTAGCCACAAAGTGTGCCTCTACCCACGTGACACTGAAGGAGTTTGCAGTGTGACTTCATGTCCAGCCCTCTGGACAAGAAGGGAATTGGGACTCTGAAGGTCCTCTTCAGTGAGGTGATTCACTTTAACACTTGAGTTTGTACTTTGCACAAAAAAGAGTAAGTCATGCACACAAAACTCCTCTGCCTTGGTGTGCAAGGCAGTTCCCACACCACCCCAACAGAGTTGCAGTAAATCCAGTCTCTTGATTGCCACTTTGCAGAACCTCACCCCTCTGGCAAGGATGTGCCTTCAAAAAGATGGATGAAAGCTAGGAGAAAGCAAGCAAGGCTACTCATGCACCAGCTAATCTGTAGCCATCTAGTCTTAAAATTACTGTAATCTTCTGAGGCATCACTGAGCTTTTGGCTAAGTGGTTTGATGCCAGTAAGTTGCAGATTTGCATTGGGGAGGAATTTGTTCTGTTTTATCTGCTGCTTAGATTTTGCCTGCTCCAGAGTCCTAGGGACAGGAATCATTTTCTGGCTACAGCAGCTGTCTCCACTCAGCAGGGAAAGACATAACAATGCTAAAACCTCAGTCCACACCCATGTCCCAACTTGCTACCACCCAAAGGGCCAAGATGACAAGAGGAGTAGCAGGTAGAATAAGAAAACACTTTTTGGTCACAGCCACAGCAGTATTGCTGGCCACACAACTTTCAAATTTGGACTTCAGCTCTCTTTTAAGTAGTATTGGAGTTTGGCTCCTCAGAGGAAGTGAAAGGGAGGCCATAGGACTTCTGTAGGGTTGGGACAGGTGTGTGACATTAGAGTTAGCCCTCAGGAACCATAGTGCTGAGAGTATGGGATGCCATGAGTTTTGATTTCTTGGAGGCCACATTCCTTCCTTCACCTCAGAGCAAGTCCCTCTGAATCACTGACGCTCACAGTTTGTTGTCCAAGTAATAAAATGAGAACGATGTGAGATGTAGGGGTCACTCAGGCTTATCCTTGACACAGCCTGTTCCCTTAATCTTCTTCACCTGCTTACTCCATAGGCAGTGAGCTTCAGCCTTTGCTACAGACTGGAGGAAGCTATCCAAACTGTCCACTGGTGATAGATAGACCACAGACAGACAGACAAACTGCAGCTGGGGTGCAATCCTGAACTGTTGTACGTGGTGCTGAGCTCTTTGTACAAGCAGGATTCACACATCCAGCACACAGCTCCGGCCCCTGCGTGCCCCCGTGGCTGCTCCGCAGGAGCTGGGACGTGAACAGAGCTGAGCACCAATCTGCTCATCCCGGGTAGAAACAGGAGCACACAGAGCACACAGGTACACATCTGCATCGGGACAGTCCCAGAAACATCCATCTGGGCTGTTCCTGGGACTTGGGTTTTATCAGGAGCAGACAGGCAAGCAGCTGCTGTTTTCACTGCCCAGTGACAGGAAATCCAAAGGGTCTGTTCTCTCTTGGTTTACACAGTGGTGAGTAGTTAACAGCAGGGGTGATCTGCACTGTTTCTTCCTCCTAAATGTTGCTCTTTTGGTAGCGTTTAGACTCAAACTGCAGTCTTTGTGGCCTGGGTGGGGACAGAGACGGGGGTTTCCATGCACTTTGCTCCACAGCAGGTCAAGTGGCAGGGTGACAGTGTTATCTCCCCCCTGTGACGGGAGGTCACATTCCCACAGTGCTGCTACCGGAAACCACCAGTTCCACAGGCTTCACACAGGATTTTAGAGGGTTAAGAAACTGGGAAACATGGCATTTGCTGTGCCCTTGAGCTAGACAGCAGGTCCTCTGCCAAGGCCAGGTGAGCCTGCTGCTGCAGCAGCCCTCAGATGGATGTTGCCTTCACACATGTGAAGGCTGAGGGACGTCAGAGATGGTTACAGCCCCAGGGGAAAACGCTTAGGGACAAAGCAGATGCTGTGAGAAAAAAAAAAAAAACAGGCCAGAAGAAGGACTATTTTAAAATACTGCACGCTTGAACAGTAGCGGTGAAGCCAAAATTAAATGTTTTTAGAAAAGCAAAAGTCAGTGCGCAGACTGTGGGAAATACAAAGGGGTCATGAGAAATGCAGAAGGCCCGAGCACAGAGCAGTGGGAGCGAGAGATCCCGGCCCAGCCCCCAGAAGCATGGCCAGAGCAGTGTAGGGGCAGCCAGGCTGACAGTGGTGCCAGTGACTCCAGCAGCTGGGCAGGGGTCAGCACACACTGTGCCCCTGTGGGGTTTTGTGCCCCAGACCTGCTACTGTTTCCCAGCAGAGCAAGCAGCACATGGCTGGTGCCCTATACCAGATTCACCAGAACTGCTGGCTGAGGCACTCACTGGGGTAAAACACCCGAGACAGGTCAAAAGAGAAGGTGTCCTTCTCCTCCAGTGCAATGTCAAAGGGGATTTGCATCTTCCCAGTGTAAGGAGGAGATGCAGCAGAGGGGTTTACAGCATAATGTATCCCTAAACCCCAAAAGCCCAGGCAACCTGAAGGGAGAGGCTCATGGCCTTGAGAGTCCCTGTAGAGTAGCTTCACCACCATGGGAGACAGGGCAGGCTTGACCACTTCAGCCCATCCCTGGGGTGCTGGGACACTGGAAGCCCAGGGAGCAGTACCAGGACAAGGAACAGTGCAGTGAACTCTCGACGTAGCATCCTCTGTGGCCCAGGGCCCCCCGTTCCTCTCGTGCTGTTGTAACTCCTGCCTCTGTGCCAATGGCTTCCAGAACGCAGAGGAAAACTCTCGCATCTCAATCACCTTCTTCCGACTCTTCCGCGTGATGCGTCTCGTGAAGCTCCTGAGCCGAGGGGAGGGCATCCGGACTCTGCTTTGGACCTTCATCAAATCCTTCCAGGTACTCCTCCACTTATCTCTAAGTAAGACCTAACTCCTTTTTATTTCCCCTTGGTGGCCTCTCGTGGAGGGGTTTCACCCAGATGCCTGAGCTCAAAGGCAGAGCTGGGCACACCAGGGACACGTGGCACAAATGAGAGTCGAGCAAATGTGACTCACAGGGAGTGACTGCCTGTGTACAGGTTTCATCTTTAAAGCCTGAGTAATTGCTTGAGACCTTCCTGAACAGCCCTGATAGTTCAGTTCAACTCAATTGCTGCCTGTCTGTAACCCTTCAATCTCCTCTTTTTTTTTTTTTTTTCCCTATTTCAGCTGTATTTTATATGTGTTGCTTTAACTGAAATACACAGCTATGGGGAAGGCCTGGGTCTCCATTAAGTTTCCTTTAAGCCTTGTTTTGAGAATTTCCAGTGAGTATTAGAGGTGTGAGGCCTCCATACTTTCATCCAGGAAAAGTTCACCTTTTTGGCCCCACACGTTGCCAACTTATTAAATTGCTGCTGCTTTTGCCTCTAGAGACAGGTTGCATTTCAGTGGTAGATAAAGTACCAGAGTAGAAAGGGGAAGGTGAAGAAGACCAGATCGGATAAGAATCATCACCTTTGGGGAAAAATAAACACCCCAGCTATTTGCTAGAAAAACCTAGCCACATATAGTAAAATGATAGAGATAAGTATAGCATATTCCTGCATTTTAAAAGTACTTGACCTGGTTTTATTGGACAAGCACAACCTGGATGTTAGCTGGGGCATAACCAAAGGAAGTGTCAGGGAATGACAGCACAGGAATACAAATGGTGGTCTAAACATGAGAAAAGATGCAGAACACACCACTGGACAAAAGCATGAAAGAGTAACTTGCACAACACACAAGTCTTGAAACAGCAACTACATGTCCTTCACACGGAGCCTTTAAATGGCTGATAGCTTTTGTGTTGGCTCTAATGGAAAAGGAGCAGATCCACACTTTTAAAACTTAAACCTCACCAGCAGCAACACAAGCTGGGACCAAAGCCTGCAGTGCTGTGGATCATTGCAACTTCTGTCAGCAGAATTAGCACATGTGTACACTGGGGATCAGCCTGGTCTTTTTCCAGTGCAGCTCTCCATGGTCTCGGTAGCCAGATCACCAGGCTTACGCAAAGGGCTCTCATTTTGCACACTCCTTGACTGCCAGAGGATCTAATATTGCACAGCATTCTTCTGGCACATCCGTACCACAAGTGACTTTTTCCATTGCTTACATGGTTGCTAACTTCCAGGTTGTTATTTGAGCAGCTCCAGTGGGAACCATTTTGTCTGCGTGCTTAGGAATGAAATTCCCTTGGCACAGCTCAGCTATCCTTGATGCAGGGGACAGAGTCACACTTTCCAGTTCCTGCTTCTCCTCCCCTTGCCCCTGTGCTCCTCCAGCCTCTTTAGCAATGGCTCAATCTTACCCTGAGCTCAGCTTGCCATGGCTTTTGGCTGAAGAGGATGAGATAGATGGGAAAAGGAGTGCCTGGTACTTCTCTCCAGTGACCTTCAGACCTCTTAGATTCTAAGAGTCACTTTTGGGCAGGGCTGTAGGGTGGTGGGAGAAAGTACGAAGGGAGGGATCTTCCACAGCAGGGGAGATAAAAAAGAAAAAAAAAGATCACTTCAAGCATCTTTTCCCTTGAAAGCCTTTAGCCATTTATAACATGGTATTCCAAGCTCTTTCTCTTGCAACTACTGGGAGGCTCCTTTGGTAGCTAAGAATAACCTCTGTGCCGCTCTGAATTCAGCCCCTCCCACTGTCAGAGTGTGGGATCCCTGCAGACTTTGGCACAAGCTCCTCTCTGTGTCCCCACATGCTTCCAGGAAGTGTCTCTGCTCACACAGGGCAGACTAATAAGCAAGGAACTTGTGCTGGAGTTAGATCCCATCGTAACTACCACGTGCCCTGGGCATGGCACAAAGCGCTGACGTACAAGCTGGGGCACTGGCGAGAGGAGTGTGTGGTGGGAAAATGCTCAGCGGGCTTTCCGTCTGCAGAGACAGCAGCAGAGATCAGGCTGGTGAGTGGGAGGAGGAGGAAGTGAGAGGGGTGCTGAGGGCACGGCAAGGCCATGGGAATCACAAGGACAAAGTGGTAAAGCCAGGGAAGGACAGAGTAAGAGAGAGCCCGAGGAGTAGAATATGGGAGATGGGGAGCTGAAGGAGCCGTGGGGAATAAGGGGCAGAGATAAGTAGGAAGGTGCATTAGTGGCAAGGAGTGGGCTGAGCAGAAGAACATGAAAAGGAAGGGGAGGGCCAGACAACCAGGACAGAAGATATTTTCCCACCCCCATTTAGAAGACAGAAGAACTGTTATGGTTTTGCACCTCAGACCCTGTCTGGACACTGTCTCAGGAGCTCTTAGGTTTTGAGGATATAAAGTCCCAAGTAGATCATCACAAAAGGTTAAAAGCCCAGTTCTGAGCTGGTGTCTCTCCAGTGACATTGTGAGGTAACCATACAGATTTGTCTGACCCCAAAAAACACAGAGGAATCTGCCCCAAACCTCAAGATGACGATTACAGGCATTGTCTAAAGGTTTTATTTTTTTTCTGTTTTAATGTTCAGATCTCTTTGAGATGATTTATGCTGACCGTAGTCAAATCTCCATGGTGGGCAGTGAAAACTTTTCTGAGACTCTTCTTATGGGATTTAGCTGTGTTGAATTTAGGATCACAGAAGGATTCGGGTTGGAAGGGACCTTAAAGGTCATCTAGTTCCAACGCCCCTGCCATGGACAGGGGCACCTTCCACTAGACCAGGTTGCTCAAAGTCCCATCCAGTCTGGCCTTGATCACAATCACAAAGTGTGTATCCACAGCTTCTCTGGGCAACCTGTTCATGTCTTGCCACCCACACAATATAGAATTTCTTCCTAAATTTTAATCTAAACTTCTTTTAGTTTAAAATCATCATCCCTTGTCCCTATGCCCTTGAAAAAATTCCTCTATTGCTTTATGTAGGCCCCCTTTAGGTACTGGAAGGTGCTCTAAGGACCCTTCTCTTCTCCAGGCTGAACAAACCCAACTCTCTCAGCCTTTCTCCGTAGGAGAGGTGCTCCAGCCCTCTGGTAATGTTGTAGTCTTGTTATATTCCATGAAATTGAGTGGTCAAAGTCCAGATCAGGGACTGTGCTCACATATTCAGGATGAACATGTTCACCCATTGCCTCTGAAGGAAAGTCTGGAAATCCCTGGTCTGAGCACTCTATATTTCAAAAGCAGCAGAGTAGAAAATTCTTCCTCAAACGCCTGAGCTTGTGAGGTCCCGAGCTGTGCCCTTGATTCATGTTAGTGGAGGAGGAAACCGGTAGCACTCAGCACTTTGCTGATTGTACTGGTGTCTTCCTTAGGCAGTAGCTCTGCATATCAGGGCTCTGCATTTCCTCTTCAGCAGCTGATCACAGACACTTAGTGCGTTGCAGACACCGTCAGGGACACCTAGCTCGGAACAGGGAAGACGTTGATGCTGCCTTAGGTACTTAGGATGGTACCAGCCATTGTAGCAAAAGGTACATTTTGGATTTCAGCAGCTGTTGCGTTTTTTTATTTCACCAGACTGGATCCAGGAAAAAAAAAAAAAAATCACATTGCTGTTAGTGCCAGAATAATGCTGGTAATGAGAGCTCTCTCCTCCTGGTAAGCAGCTGTAGACACCGGTTTTGCCCTCGCTTTCCTCGCTCCGTCAAGGTCAGGGCTGACGCGCAGGCAGCGCAGCTCCACCACCACGAGTGGGAGCAGAGCGGAGCCTGCCTGAGCTGGGTGGTGGCGGGGAGGGCAACAAAGTGTGGGCTTGCAGAGGCATCTAGTGGCCGCCTGCCCAAATTACAGACTCCAGGTTTGGGGCCAGCCTCCTCCCGGTTTCCCAAAGCCAGGAACATGAACTGGGCTCGAGGGAGACACAGTGCTCTCTTTCTTTCTTTCTTTCTTTCATTTCTAGGCTCTCCCCTACGTGGCTCTTTTAATAGTGATGTTGTTCTTCATCTACGCTGTGATTGGGATGCAGGTAAGATGCTTGAAAGAGTTCAGCTGTGTCTGTCTTCTCCTGTTAGACCTTGGGTGCTGACTTATAGAGTAACTAGATCAATGTGTGGTTGTAAGGGCTTACAAGAATGTTTTCACCCAGTGAAGTAAAATGGCAGCTAGCCTTGGCTAGAAAACATCATCTGCCTATGCTCTTCCAATGGGAGCACAGAACACTCCAGGAAAAAAAAAAAACAACAACAAAACAACCAAACAAAAATATTGACCCATTTAATGGCAGAACACAATATGCAAACAGTAAAAGGACTGGGCCTGCTTTTCCACACTCTCAAAGGAATACTCATAAATGAGATTTACTGCCTTGCTTGTTGGTTCAAAATAGTTTTTTCAGTGGGTTTATGGCCATGCTGCACTGAAAAAAAAAACCAGGTTTTCTCTCCCATCACTTTCACACTGGTGTAACTTCCACTGAGTTGTAAAAAACAGCTTTTGATCTACATCCTTGAAGGTAAATATGGGATCAGACCCAACGTACCAACATTGTGCCAGTTCTTCAGGAAGCTGCATCAATACAACATCCTATTCAATCTGCAAAATGAACCTGGAACCATCCTGAGCATTCACCTGTGCAAGGAATGATGTTGCATATAGACCACTGAAGAAAGCACGTGATATAGGTACAGTCTGTGACAGTCCCAGCCTCATCTGTTGTGCTGCTTTTCAAGCTAAACTTTGTTTTCCACTTCAGTGTTAATCAAAGTTCTCAGACAAGTCAGCCATCTGGGACCAGAGACCACAGTATAGAAAGGCATGGCATAATTGCTTCCAGAGGTCTTCAAACATGACAGGCTTTTTGGTTTCACAATGCCAGCAGAATTTGTAATGAAATTCATCTGACCTCTGTGACCTTTTTTGAATTCGTTTCCTGTTATTATAATCACATGTTTTCAGGAACTCCATCTACCCTGCCCCACTTTGAAAAATAAAACTAATTTTTTCTTGAATTATCACAGGTTATCTCAATGGCCCCAGGAATTAGAGCTGCCATTTAGTCTACTAGGCTCATACTGCCACTTTTGCCTTTAATACCTAACTGGCTGAAATGATCAAGATCTTACAGAATTACCTGTGCTATACAGAAAATCACTTCAGAGTATTAAGCTAGTGTTACATTGCTATACAAAGCATTAAAAGTGGCTTCAAGCACCCACACAGACAGGGTTTGCAATGATCAGGGCACTGCCAGGGCTAAATACTTTATTCTGTAATTCTATTGCTTTTTCTGTCAGCTAGTTCTAAGTTATCCATTTAAGCCTTGGCTTGAATTCAAGCCTCTGTTTAAATCATCTCAGCAGCCTGAAGATCATGCATCTGTCTTTCACATTGATCTGGTTTACTAGATCCCTTCCTGCCCTCCTGCCTTCCAATGAGAAAACCAGCTTTTCTCATTTTCCGTCTTTGCTTAGAGCCCACAGACCTGTTATCATCACTTTTTGTCCAAGTGGCATCTCAGACATTCTGTGTGCTGCTCTCTTGAACCTGCTGACACGTGGAGTTCCCTCACACACAGGAACACACAGGAAAGAAAATCATTCCTCACTCCATTAAGCAGCTACCATGCAAGACTAGACGTACAAGATCTGATGAAAATATCAGAATTTGCCATATAAAGGAGACCTACCACTTTATCTGAGCTGCTGCCATGACTTGGAGCGTAACAACATTCAAGCCTCACTACCTAATGTGCTCAAGTGGAAAATCCAAGTTGATGCTGATGGATGAAGCCACTCATATGATGTCCCAAGAGGCACAGATTGGAAGGGCTGTAAGAGAGGGACCACTACCTATAGCTCCTCCTCAGTACCTAATGCAAAGCACTCATAGCAGCTGCCACCAGTACCTCATGTGGGAGGGAAGCTGCAGGTTTGAAAGGAAGATCAGATTTCCAGCATGGGAAGCTCCCTTGCCTATGTTTGCCTGAAATGAAAAATATGGGTTGTCTCGGCTCAAACTGCCTCTGGGCATTAACCTGTCCTCCTGCTCCCCTTCAGTGCAGCTGGGGGCAGTTAGGGCTGGGAAAGGCCCACGCATCCATGAGGAACCCCTGAGGGAACCTGCCATGTGCAGACCCTCCCTGCCCTTGTCCCCGCACTTCTCTCCGCATCATTGTTTCTCTCGGGGTGCTAATTATCGGTGACATTTCCTTGAAAAGAAGCTCCATGTTCTCCCAGAGCTGCTCTGTTCCTGCTGCTTGTTTTGGCTGTGAGATTACAGCTCTCAGTCCTTGACATCTCTGCCACGTTGCTATCGATGGGGAATAAATAGTCCCGACTATGCTGTGCAGAGACCTTTCTGCCAGGCGAGGTTTGTTAAGCTCTCGGTCCCACTGCCCAAAAACTTAGACAAAGCTGTCTAAGATTTTTTTTTCAAAGAAACCTGAAAACTCTCCCGCACTGAGGACTTCACATCTGAGGACAGGCCACTAAAAAGGTTTGCTGATGGTTGCAGACTCCGTGCCGTGACTGGATGAACTAGTTGGTGCGGCAAAAGTTGGTTGGGCATGGGGGGAAGCTGAAAGTCATCCTTGTCTGGGTAAATCTAGTCACCATCTTCATGCTGCTGCACTCTGGGAGGTCCCCTGAAACACCTGCTGGTGACAAGCATGACTGTCAGAAGGGCAGGCATTCGAGCAGTCTCCAGATCGAAGGCAATGTACTTTACATTGTTTTGGGAAGATCCAAGGCACCCCACAGAGTTGGAAGCTCAAGGCTTTGCAGCTGCTGGTCTTTTGCTATCGTTTCCTCCCGGTGAAGACAGATAAGCAATGAAGGAAGCAGCCTTTCTTCTGTGTTATTGATTTCTTTCAGCTGGGACTCCCCATATGAATGCCTGTTAAAATAAGGTCCTATATTGTGTATTCACAGTGTATGAGTAAGGAAGGATGTCTTGTTTTAACATAAGATGCCTCTTGTTACAAAATTAGTGCTTTTCTGGTAATAAAGCACAAGCCAGGGAAGCAACAACAAATATGAAAGGCACATGGAAACATTCTTTTAATAGAAGAGCAGATTCCATTAAATATCAGAATAAGAGTGAGGCCAAGAGCTACAGGTGAAAAGAGCTGTGGGGGTTTTGCAGGGCTAATCTGAAAAGGCTTCTGCTTTCTGCCAGGTGTTTGGTAAAATTGCGCTGAATGATACCACAGAAATCAACCGCAACAACAACTTCCAGACCTTCCCCCAGGCAGTGCTGCTGCTTTTCAGGTGGGTGTATGACAGCTCTGGATTGTGTCAGTCTGGGAGCACGATTCCCCTGCTCTCAGGCACAGCTTATCTCCTTCTACTGTGTCATGCTCACGAGGGGCATAGAATCATGTTGTCCTTTAGCAGGGAAACCCGGGGGTTATGTCAGATGGAATGGCCAGTCTCAAGCCTTGTAGCCCACCAGCTGACACTGGCCAACACTTAGTGCTGGAGAGGGAGGCAGGTGCTCCTACTTGGAAGGAAAATAGCCAGTTTTCAGTGCTCTCAAATGTTGATATGCATCTAAAACTCCTTTCATTCAAATCTAGACAGTGTGACTTGTAGCAGGGAGAGGGACATGATGGACTCATGCTTAGGCATTGCCATGCCCAGCTCAGCTTAGCACATCATCCTACTCCAGCTGAGGCCAGCTGGACTGTGGCCAGGTGTTGAAGGGGTGGGAAGTTCAACACACTTAATTTTGAAGGACTTCTTGCATGCAATCTATAGGAGATGCAATCCATATTGAGATGTGTCACACACATCTCAGTGACTGTCTGGTTGGAACATGAGAGCCCTATACCCACATTAGGCCAAAGCCAGTCAGGAATGAAGACTGATCATGGCAACAAATCCAAACAGAGGAGCAGGGTATGCCAGTGAGCCAAAGCCCAGCCATCAGCCTAACTTCCTCCTAATTGACCTCAGTGGCAAAATTCCCATTAATGTTCATAGGAGCAGGAGCAGGTTGCTAATTTGCCAGTCCCTCTCACATCAAAGGTCAGTGATGTCTTCTCTTGCCCTTTGCCATGCCCAGGTGTGCAACTGGTGAGGCCTGGCAGGAAATCATGCTGGCGTGTCTCCCGGACAAGAAGTGCGACCCGGAGTCGGAGCCGGCCAACTCCACCGAAGCCGATCACTCCTGTGGCAGCAGCTTCGCCGTCTTCTATTTCATCAGCTTCTACATGCTCTGTGCCTTCCTGGTGAGTCCACCCCAGCAAACAAAACCTTCCCTCTGACAGGCTGAGCCTCTGCTTTCCCAGACATCAGCACTGCGCAGGAGAAGAATGATCTCAAATAGAGGAAATCTCCCCATGAGGTCTTTCCCAGCAGCACCCTTTCGGTGACAACACCCCTTCCTGCCTCCCACCAGCTCTGGGAGATGCTCTGCTCCCATCCCAATCCTTTGTGCACAGCAAAGGAGTGTTCTTCCCCCCCTCCCCCTCAATGAGAAAACCAAATTAGCGTGTTGTGGGCTGTGCTGAGGCTAGCAACGCCTCAGCCACACTTCCCACCTTCCCTCCTACCTTCCTTCTGGATGCTGAGCAGCTCTTCTCCTCCCCTGCCAGCAGCAATGACTGTGAGAATACACATATCCCACTTGCATCTGCTCCGTGTTGGCAGTGCAGCGTTGCTCAGAGCGACAGCACATGCTCTGCAGCTGGCACCAGTGCCCAAAACTCTCCCAGTGAACAGCAGCAACATTTGGAAAGTTTTGGTCTTGGGCCAGAAGAAGGGACTTTCATCTCAGCCCCACTGCCTATGAAAGATAAGTCCCAGCTTCTCCCACCCCATTATGCCAGGCTAATAAGAGCCAGGTTAATAAAAAGCCACCACAGCACGTGAAAGCATTTGGCAAACTTGTGCCTCATCCATTTAGTAGGGAAGGGAAAAGCATAACCATCTGAGAATATTCCACCTCTGGGCTCTTCCCATTTAAACTGGGGGCCTGGCATGGGGGAACAGAGAACCTACCCCCCATAGCTCCTAGTTTTATGAGTCCAAATCAAGACCTTAAATGGAGAACTCAGTAAAATCTACTGTTACTTGCCTCTTCCATCGCGTCATCTCTGTCCTTGTTTGCAGATCATCAATCTTTTTGTAGCTGTTATAATGGATAACTTCGATTACCTGACACGGGACTGGTCCATTTTAGGACCACACCACCTGGATGAGTTTAAAAGGATCTGGGCAGAGTATGACCCTGAAGCTAAGTAAGTAACCCAGCCTGGATATCAGAGCTCCTCGGGAGAGCAGGCCCATTATTTTCTGTTCTCTAAACCCAGTGCAGTAAGTGCCATGTTCCTCCTGCAGGAACACTTTTTTTTTTTTTCTTTTTTTTTGCAAAACTCCTAAAATAGGCATCTCCACAAGGTACTGCTGGTTAATCTGTAAGCCTGAAGTACAAGGATACTCACAAAAATCTCAGCATTTAGGCTGCACTGTTACTTGGCGGGACATTGCTTCACTTTCAGCTGTGGGGAGATACAGACTTCTTAGGGAGGGACAACAGGAGACTCAGAAAAGGAGATTAGAGTGTTGGTTTATTGTTGCATGTGTTTTGGGATATTGACTCTTCTGCTTGACTTTGTACTCACAGCAGAGCTGCTGTGCTGAGATCTCCATGTGTCGTATAGGCCCATCACAACCTGCACATTCACATGGCTGCATTACATTGTCTGCAGGGTTACTCACATCAGCAGACTTGCAGGGATTTTAAAGTTACACTGGAACAACTCACATGAGGGCTTAACTGACATTCAGTATTATATGCTCTGTTTGGCACATGCTTAGGCTTAAAGTGTATTTAGATCCCTGTGGCATTACAGTACAGTTGACAATTTTAATTGCAAAACCCCCTTCATAATGCAGAAACTGTGGAAAGAGATTTTGGTGTAAACTAAAAGCAGATCTCTTTAGGAGACATAGTGTCAAGTTTAATTTGGGCTCAGGTTCTGCCATGTGTGAGGCTGTGTTACATTATGAGAGTGATATGTGAATTTAAATACTTCTTCCCATCCACGGTGACTTCCCAGGGGGACTTTTAATATGGATGGGGAATAAGCCCAGAATTCTAATAAATACACTGTTTGTTAACAAAACAGGTGCTACTATTTGTGCTTGCTTGGAGGCAAAACTGCAGTGGCTGAAGCCATACAATAGATAGCCACTTAGTTCAGATGACGTTCTGTTCATCCCTATCTATAAATGGGAAGCTCTTTTATTCCTCTTCTCCATCAGTATCCCATGCCCCACTGCTGGCTCTGGTAGCTTTCCTCCCTCCATGAGAGAATTCTTCTTTTGAGATGCCATTTACAGAACTTAAGAGAAACCCAACTGCTACTGTGAAGGAAGTTCAGCACTTTGTTTTGTGCTGGCTCCAGAGACAGCCTAAAGCATAAACAAGTATCAAAAGGCCTGGGGCTATTTATGTGGGTCAAAAGTGGGTAAAGCAAAAGGAAGAAAAAAGACTCTTTGCACCACTGTGCCTCCTATAGCCCTAAGTAAGTAAATAAGCAGATACTTATTTTTAGCAGGTCAGTGGTGGTGGGACAACCCCAAATTGTCAGTTCATGCACTAAGAAACTACAACAGTCAAACACTGAGATCAATGCTTGCAAGTACTGGCTTGTGTACGACTGACAGACGAGTTTTCTGTACTAGTAGAAGTTATATGAGTGCTGGGCAAATCCTGAGGAATGAAACAAATGCAAGAGGCCTGGAATAATGCTTTAATCTCTGCCTGGGCTACAGGGAGCAGCAGCGTGGGGCTGGAGAGATCTCAGTGACACCTCCAGCTGCATCTGCACTCTGCAGGTGGATCAGCAGCTCACCCCGTGGTCGGGATGCAATGCTCACTGTGCCTTCTTCTTTAGGGGACGGATCAAACACCTGGATGTGGTGACGCTGCTCCGGCGGATTCAGCCCCCCCTGGGCTTCGGGAAGCTCTGCCCTCACCGGGTCGCTTGCAAAGTAAGGCACCCTGCGGTTCACGGCGGCTAAATCATAGATTAATCACACCATCACAGAACGGTTTGGGTTGAAAGGCACCTGAAAGATCATCGAATTCCAACCTGCGTGCTGTGGGCAGGGACACCTTCCACCAGGCCAGGTTGCTCTACACTAACTAGCCTGCTGTGGCATTTTCCAGCTGGCCCTGCCACACCGACCGGACACCTTCCAGCTCACTGCCTGCCAGGCACAGCTGCAACAGCACGTCTGAACCACCCCCTGGCTGTCCTGCACCACTCAGCAGCTCCTCTGGGCTGCAGTCACCCAGGGCTGGAGGGTCACTGGCAGGCAGGTTGTCCACTAGCCAGGGGCATCAGTGCACTGCCAGCCCTCTCTGGAGAGTGCATCCATGCCAACTACAGCTCTCATGTACCAAGAGCCACACACCTGCTTAAACACACGTCCTGAGACAGATTGGGACACAGAGAAATAACACGGAAAGTAAAAAATATCTCTAAAAGGTTTTCTTTGGACTAAGCAGTGCACCATAAACCTGGTGTTTTCTCTCATTCATTCCTGCTCAAATAACTGACAAATAATAAACAGCAAGGTGAGCATGGAGTTAAAATACACAAAGGGCAAGGACAAATTTTCTGTGAAAATCTCTCACTCATTTCTTTGGTTGTGAGACTTTGGCTATAAAAAAGGACTCTCTCTCGTGAATAATTACGTGTTTATAACCTCTGTGCTTTCTTCACTTGAAGTTCTTTGTTCATCTCCTTGCAAGTCCCAGAGTTTGTATGTGACACTTGTAGTTGTCTTTTTATATAAGTCTCAGAGAAAAATACAAACCCTGAGGCCTGTACAAAGAAATATGTGACTCCTGTGGCCTACTGCTGATCCCTTTCAGTCTGCCAGCTAGCTATTCCTTGCTGCCTCAGTCGGGTTCAGACCCCAAAGGCTACGATTGCGGTGGTAGTGAAGGGGGATGACACTCTTTCTTTCAGTTTGGTTCTGAACCAGACCTGTTGCATGAAAGTTGCAGAAGGCAGAGCTCAAAGAAAATCAGGTCCTGAAAGCATAAGAGTTCAAGCCAAGTCTCTGGTATCTCTTACCTCTTGGGACAGAAGATCTGGTGACTCTGTGACATCTGTCTCAGACACATGTTGTTGGTCTTACTGAAGTTCACCCTGCAGCAGCAAAGTACTCATTACTCACTTCTCTGTCCTATATGACTTTACAGAATTACTGCAGGCAGACACAGCCTTGTTTTACAAGGGAGATGGGGAATAGTTGGATAAAGCAGACCAGCTTTTAGATTCAGCTAATCCCCTTTCTTCAAGCCTGTCACCTAAATGAAAGATTCTGTCTCTTTGTGTATATGCATTTGACCAGGTACAGCTTTAATGAAGGTGAGTTTGCAAGTGCCTCATAAGGTGTGAAGAAAGCGGTTCACTCCTGATAGGAAAAAAAGTCAAAAGTTTTGAAAAAAATCACTGTCCACGTAAGACATTGTCAGCAAGTCCCCACTCACCACTGGGAAAAACAAAGATGAGAAGGTGATAGCCAAAACTGAAGAAAACCGAGTAGTAATGAAAAAGAGACCCCAGGGCAAACACACCATGATTGGGGCCATCAGTGGAATCATAGAATGTTTGAATATCCTGAGTTGGAAGGGAGCCACAAGGATCATCAAAGTCTGACTCTTGTCCCTGCATAGGACAACCCCAAGAACCTCACCACGTGCCTGGAGAGCATTGTCCAAATGCTTCTTGAACTCTGTCAGGCCTGGTGCTATGGCCACCTCCCTGGTGGAATCCAGTGCCCAACCACCCTCTGGGGGAAGAACCTTTTTCTTATATCCAACCTAAGCCTACCCTGACACAACTTCAGGCCATTCCCTGGGGTCCTGTCACTGGTCACCACAGAGAGGAGGTGAGGGCCTGCCCCTCCACTTCGCCTGGTGAGGAAGCTGTAGACTGCAATGAGGTCTCTCCTCTCAGTCTCCTCCAGTCTGAACAGACCAAGTGCCTTCAGCCACTCCTCACACGGCTTTCCCTCTAGACCCTTCACCATCTTCATTGCTCTCCTTTGGACCCTCTTTAATGGCTTTATACCTTTCCTATATTGTGGTGCCCAAAACTGCACACAGTTGGTGGATATGAAAAGTACTTTTATCATTGTCTAACTAAATCCATAGGAGTGGCAGGTCTGGAGGGTGTCATGAGGACATAAGTAAGAGTGTACTTCAGTTCATGTGCTGGCAGTATGATTGTTTTCTTTCTTCTCTTTATTCCACAGCGCCTTGTCTCCATGAACATGCCACTGAACAGTGATGGGACTGTCATGTTCAATGCCACTCTCTTTGCTTTGGTCAGAACAGCACTGAGGATCAAGACAGAAGGTAAGAAGCCTGCTGACTGCAAGGGTACTGAGGGGTGTTCCCACCAAAGTGTGCTGAGCTGGAATAAACCAGTAAGGATACCTTGTGCAAAACGGTCCAAATTACTCACGTGCAGCACATGGGACAAAAAGCAACGTAAAGAGGTTTGGAGGAGTAGTATCTTCTAGGAAAGCACAGTGTTTCCCGTTACCTAGGAAGCTGGTGCTTCCCATGGTATCATCTCATATTATTGCTCTCATTCTTCACAACGGTCTGAAGGTTCAAAGTTTTAGATCAGTGTCTGCTCAAACAGCCACCAGGGGAAGGAAGAAGGGCAAAGCAGGCCTCCTCCTTTGTACACTGTCTGCAGAGCCGGGCTGCTTTTCAACTGTTGCCACCACTGATCTTCCAGCCTAAGGGAGGCAAAAGAGCTTGGACTCAGGGGTCTCATCTCACTAAAACTCCTCCTGTGCTTCCATTAGTTAACATTAAATTGTAGGAACAGTGGTGTTGTAAAGACAGATGAGAAGCAAAGGGACTGTGAATAGCTTTGCATATACAGCAGGTATAGTTGAGGAAAGCAGACAAGATTTTGAGCTCAGCTTGTTGTCTTTGTTGCACTCGGGACCAGCATCTTTCATTACAGCAGGTACAGAGTCAATACTTGGTTTCAAGTATTAATGAGATGCTTTAGAAGAGTGTGTAGGTCTGTGATTCACACCTCTGCCTCAGTAATGGCTGCATTACATCTCAGGTATGGGAAAGCAGAGACCAGCAGAACCCTAGCTTACTGTGCCAGGATTATACACAGCTGAGACAAAAAAACAGTGATAAAATTAAAAAACTGTATTAAGGCTTTGAATACTGTGCTAAACAGAATTTGACTGTAGCAAAAGAGGCTCTCCTGAAGAAAAGCCACCTGCAACCCCTGTAAGATATCTCAGGTCTAACAAAACAGACACCCAAAAAGGGCTTGGTTTTCTTGCCTGAGCCTCAGACTCTTGGAGTCGTTGCCAGTGAACTCCTGGTAAACCCCCTAAAGCCTCATCTGCTTTCTTTCTTGCCTTGGCAGGATCTTTTGAGTGGTTAGGGCAGGAGTTTGGAATTTGCCCTCCTAACTCAGATTTCTGCCTTTGATACTGTCCCTCTGTTGCATCCTCTGCAAGCTACTCGGTGTCCCTCTCTTCACTGCATCCTGTTAAGAGAGCTACTGCCCCATGCAGCACACTGAGGAGCCTTAATGCTGGGGAGCAATAAGAAAAACTGCAGGAGCAGCACCTTTAGGAGGACAAGATACTAGCTTTGTACACCTAGAGAGGGAACAGACCTTCAATTATAAGGCATTTGAATGTACATGAATCAAGAAATAAAATTAAAGGTGACTCATTTGGAAGAAAACAGATATATAGAAGGAAAGGATATAAACCAAATCTACTTCACTCACTCTCATGGGAGTAATGTGGCTTAATTAACGTCTCATTTAACTCAGAGCCCCCTGGAGGAACACGTAAAGTCTAAGTTCAGACAGTGTCATACAAGGCTTGTTATAACCTCTGCTGTTCTTCAGAGAATGAACATCCTGGGGCAATCCTCTGAGTCAAACTGCAAGCCTTGAACTTGCCTCCAGAGCACTGTGCACACCCTCCAAGGCACACTCTTGGTATGATGTGCAGGAGCTTGGTATCTGCTGGGAGGCAGGAATTGCAGTAGGTAGTTCTTGAGAAGTGCTGCAAGCAGCCACAGGTCTTCAGATTGCCAGCTGCATCTTTACCACCAGTTATTTGTGTTCCCCAAGCTGTAGTTTCCCATTAATTGACCTCTATTCTCATTATATTTGACCTTCACTGGATCTCAATTAAAAAAGTGTTAGATGCAATTGTTGCTTTTTTGGGATGAGGTAGCACCATGGATCTGTTGTTTCTGGCTGTTGCCCACTATCAGTCAGTAACTGTCACCTTCCTACCCAGGGATGACTATGCATGTTTAGGAAGAAGAGCTCTTGCTGTGAGGGGGCTGCAGCAACAGTCAGAGCATCTCTTGGCCCAAAACTTTCCACTACTGAAAAAGCCCTGATATTTTCCTCCTGAGATTCCTCCATGCCAGACATGAAATTGCTCCTCTGCAGGGTCTGCTTAGTTCCTGTCTCTGATGATTTTCACCCTGCAGGTAACCTGGAGCAAGCCAACGAAGAGCTGAGAGCAATAATTAAGAAAATCTGGAAGCGCACCAGCATGAAGCTGCTGGACCAGGTGGTGCCTCCCGCAGGTGGTGAGTGCAGGATCTCGTCCCAGTCTCTGAATCTCTCTGCCTTTTTCTCCCACTTGTCATGTCCTACTGCACCTGGTGATCATCAGGTGGAATATGGGGGGACAGGCTTTCTTCTACAAGCTGTCAACTGTATTTCATCAGGCTAAAATCTTTTCTGCCTATGCTACCATGAATATCACGTTCTTATTGCTGAGAAATCAGGGAAAGAAGAAAATGTGCATCAATAGGAGTTAGTGCATGGGCATCTAGTGAGGCCTTTACTGACCTTCCAGGTGGTTCCATGGGCTATAGCACAAAACAGCACTCGGCAGTCAGTCAACAGAAGCAGCCAGGTCCTGAACCTTGCTCGGCCTGCCCTGAAGTCAGTGGACCGTGTTTTATAAAATTCCCAGTGGGTTTGGAGAAGGGAGGAGAGTTACCTGGAGAAAAACATTTTGGCTGACTGATAGTTTTTATTGAGTGAGAATACAGCAATGGCTGCATTTCAGGGTAGATAGAGGTGATAGTTTCTGTTCGCTCACACCCGTGTGCAGCACAAGCAGACAGAATTTCAGTGCAGAGAAGGGCCGGGTCAGGTTGAGGATGAACGATCAGTCAGCTGCTGTTGGTGACCCCAGACTCTGAGCATGTATTACCCCATGCTGTCACAAGACAGCAGCATGCTTTGACCTAGAGTGGGAGGCTGCTGCTATAACGAGATCCTTTGTGGTTAGCCAATACCAGAGACTGCAGAGGTTGGATGAACTTCCCTGTAAAAAACGTACATCCAGACGTGCGTAGCTATAGGGGTTCTCTGCCAGCAGAGACGCAAATGCCACATGCACCTCTCCTGCTGACTACTCAGAGCAAGCTCTGGTTGTGGAGCAGTCCCTTCCTTCAGCTCTGTATCCTGGTGCCATAGAAAGCAGACACACGCTGTGGTGCCCAGTGTTCCTGCTGTGGATCCCGAGGCTCACGGTAGCACACGCACCGTTAAAATCAGTCTCTCGTTTGATTCACTTTTTAACTCACCTTTGCAGACGACGAGGTGACCGTCGGGAAGTTCTACGCCACTTTCCTGATTCAGGAGTATTTCCGGAAGTTCAAGAAACGTAAAGAGCAGGGGCTGGTGGGAAAGCCCTCCCAGCGCAACGCACTCTCCTTACAGGTGACAAGCGGGCACAGAACGGACAGGGGTGGTACACTAGAGGCAGGTGACCCCATTTCCCTCTTGACCATTCTGGGGGCTGCATTGGGCTGTCCCTACTGGAAAGGAGTTTGTAGACCCCTTGAATTATCACGCCACTCCTTTTGGGTAAATATGTATGTGCCATGGGCCCACATCCCTTAGCTCTGGAAATGGGAGGCACATGTGAGCTATAACCACAGGTTATCAGTCTGCTGGGAATACTGGAAATTTGGGATCCTTTCAGAGAACTGATATGAAGTGTCCTACAGACGTTTGCTTTTTCCCATGTATGTTCTACCCTTTCTGAGGGTAGCCACTGTAACAGAGTCAGGGAGAGCATGTTGCCAGGAGGCAAAATCAGTTAAAAAGCAAAAAGCACACCTGGATGCCAAGGCCATCTCATGGATAGGGCATCAGGCTCAAAGAACTGGGATCTGTTCACTTCTCTGCTCCATGTTAACTAGATGGACTGCCAGGCTGTGTGAAAGAACGAGAAAGCCCCACTGACTGTACCAGCAGCACCATTTATGTCTCTTGAGGGTAAAGTGAGCAAGAAGGGTGACTCTGGAGTTTCAGCAAGTTAAAAAGTGCTGTGATGTGGGGACAAAGACAGAATGAATATACCCACAGATTACTGCCCTGGATGGACTCCTTGGAACAGATTCCAGTCAGTGAGGAGTTTGAGGACTGTCCAGGTCCAGATGCCAGAAGTTTAGCTACTAAATCCATATTTAAGCTGCTAATTAAAAAGAAGAGATTTTCAGAGGTGCCATAGTACATGATTCAGCTGGAACTGTGACTGCTCAAGGGCTTCTAGTTGTGGAGTTGAAAGCACACAGACCTGCTTAGTCAAGCCTGTGGATTTATGCCTGTGCCCTGTTGTGATGAAGCCAGGGGACTAGCAACAAACATTCCTGGCTCATATTGCTAAGAGTTTCTCCCTCTCTAAGCTGGAGATGAAAGAACAGAATTTGTTGGTGTTTTTCTAGGAGCTGGGGATGTTGTGTTAAGTAAAAGGGCTTCACAGAGCGTAGGAAGAAATGGCAATGCAGTTATTTCTCCCATATCCACTCGGAGATATGAAGCTCTATAGTTTGCTGTTTTGCAGGCTGGTCTGCGCACACTCCACGACATCGGGCCAGAGATCCGGCGAGCAATTTCTGGAGACCTGACAGCTGAAGAAGAGTTAGATAAGGCCATGAAAGAAGCTGTCTCTGCTGCCTCTGAAGATGATATCTTCCGGGTAGGTGCTGAACAAGTTTGTGAGTTGAGACTATACCAGTAGCTGAGCTCAGAGTGCTACGTTCTCTTTTACGCGTTCTGCATTTCAGCTGGATCCTCCTCCTTGTTTTGTAGGTCCTACTAGAAAACAGCATAGTGAACCTAGGAGGCCAGGTCCTGAGATGTTTGCACAGTTTTACCCCAATTTCTTCTCTCTTTGTCTCAAAGGAAACTCCTCAGTGGAAGTTCCCCTCACAAAATCTAAATTAAAGAACAGCTCCATTAAACCATCTCAGTCTGCAGAGCAGCAGCCAGGCACACCTAAGTGTTTTGTCCACTCTTTTCTGTGGCACAAGTAGCATCCTTCCAAAAAGTACACCAGAACCCAACAGAGCTCCTATAGAAGGAGAAAATTTTCTGATCAAGTTACCTAGATCTTTTCTTTCTTATTTCATTCCTATTTCTTGTAATTGTCTCCTCTGGTAATTTTTCCTCTCTTTTGGTGTTTTCCTCCTTTCCTTACAAAAGATGCTGCCAGTTCTTTACTCGCCATCTAAACATACATAACTGGCTCCCTAAATATTTCATCATTTCTTCCTCCGTGTGATTAATAGTTTCTGGTGCTCTTCTCAAATTCCCTCTCATGTCTAAATGTTCCTTTGCAACTGCACTAGGAAAACTAGACAGCAGTTACATGGTTCTTGCATCCTTACCCAGTCCTGCGCTTCCAGGACTGGTGGGAGGTGTAGAGACACCTTTGCCTCACCTATACACTTGGCCAGTCCTCTGAAATATCATAGAAAGCTAAAATATTCACAGCCTGTGGGTACCTAATCTCTGTGACAGAGAAATCCACACACTACCTTCTGGAAGAGAGAACACCAGTGCCATGAACACTTCGGTTCTCGCTTTTTTTTTTCTCTAGAACAGGCTAAGCAGGAAACACCAGGGCCCTCGCACAACTTCTCACTCACAAAGGGAAAATCATTTCTGTTTTTCTGACAGAGAGCTGGAGGCTTGTTTGGAAACCATGTCAGCTATTACCAAAGTGATGGCAGGAGCGCATTTCCCCAGACATTTACCACTCAGCGACCTCTACACATCAATAAGTCTGGCAACAACCACGGAGATACCGAGTCTCCATCTCACGAGAAGCTGGTGGACTCCACCTTCACTCCCAGCAGCTACTCATCTTCAGGCTCCAATGCCAACATCAACAATGCCAACAACACTGCCCTGTGCCGCTTCCCCAGCCCACCCACCTACCCCAGCACTGTCAGCACAGTGGAAGGCCATGGGACCCCCTTGTCACCCACGATATGTGTGCAGGAGGCTCCTTGGAAACTACCATCCAAAAGGTAAGTTTCACATCAGAGTAAGTCAAGGGACTTGGCTTCATAGGAATGTACATGAGAACACCAGAGCACTGCTGCCTAGCTGAAGTCACTCCCAGACATTGCCCAGCCTGCAGCCTGGATTGAGCCTTCTGGTTCTCCACTTGTGCCAAAGCCCACGGTGCAACAGATGTGCATCAGTCGAGCACTGCAAGGCAGCAGCACTCTTACTGGTCAACTCACTTGATTTCTTTGGGCTTTATCATGAAGAAACCTCTCTAAGAACCCAAAGGAGCCTTATTTATCCCTCCTTCACCACAGGGAGGGATTTTGTCAACTGATAACTGAAGGAGACTGCAGTTCATTTCTTAATCACCCAGTAGGAAGCTCTGTGGAAGTCAGTGGTTTTTCATTCAGTGGGTCACATCCCTGCAGAATCACCAAAGCATTCTGGGGGGAGGGAGGCAAGGTTTTCAGAAATGCAGTACTGTGCAACACGAAGAAAACCCCCTTCTCTGGACAGTTCTCAGGCTCTCTACACACAGATGACTAGTACTAAAGAAGTATAATTTTTATCAGTGGGGGATTTCAGAAACAGCAGGAATTTTTTTTTCAGTTCAGAGAGTGGGCAGTGTGAAAAGGTGGACAATGCTGCCCCTGGAAAGGATGGAATAGAACAATAAAAGACAGAGGAAATTCAGTGCATGCAGAATTGCCCAAGTAAAGAGTCCCAGGGTTTTTCTATTTCGTGCCTTCCCGAGGGAGGCCACAGGAGCTGCACAACACGTGTTACCATGTGCCCTCCTCCTTTGCTGACTTGTGCTGATGTGACACTGCTAACGTGGTGTTCTTTTCTCTCCTTGCTTCCTTGGGCACCCTCCCTGAATTAGGACACATTACTACGAAACACTGGGACGGTATGTGCTCTCCATAACATCTAACGCTGTCCGGGTGTTAGACTCATTGCTCATCCTATGCCAAAGTCCAAATTCCCATTAATGCTGAATACAGGCTCTTCTTTTTGGTGTCAGTAGGGCTGAAAGAGAGGCAACGGTAGGCATGACAGCTCCAGAAAATGCTCCTAACGCAGGGCAGGTAGTGATTCATGGGCAGTTTCTAGCTGTTTTCTGGATTTGGAGTTTTTTTTAGAGTTTCAAGCTGGGCTCACACATCTATGCACTCTCTGATCACAGCATAGTGAAGTGCACTCTGGCATGTTCATACAAAAAATTCTGTATGGTTTTGGCTAAACACAGACTGTTGAGCAGGAGGAGATGCCATGTACTGATTTTTTCCCTTCTGCACCTTAGCAGTTTTACTTGTCTCCCATTTAAGGAGGAAGGTCACTCCAGCACAGTCCCACAGACTCTCTAAGCCTACAGGCTCCCTTATACCATGCATGCACACGTTTTTTCCAATACTTTTTGCTAAAACCAGATGACAAAATAATGTTTCCTCTCTGGACCCTGAAAGATGAAAAAAAAAACCTACCACACTGCTCTTTTCTGCAATTGCTAGAAATAAACTGAGATTGTTTCCAATACCCCCATGTTTGGTACCTCAAAAATTCGAGCTACCTTCAGAGTTGAGTTTACTCCTCAGAAAACACAAAGTCCAAATGAAGTGAAATGTGAGTGCCCAAATGTGAAGCAGAGGGACAGAGAGGAGGCAAGCAGGGAATTAAGGGCTGTTACACCTGAAGTTCTGAACAGATCCTACTGAATTTAGTAGAAGCACTCTGCAGTTAGTGATGAGAAAAAAGGCACCAAAGGTGGAAAAGACAGCGGGGAACGAGAGTGTGAACAGGAGGCAGAGGGCAGAGATGGTGCAGAGTAAGGGATTTGGGAGGCAGAGACCAGACATCACAGAGCTGAGAGGGTTACTGTGAGTGTCTAGGAGGCTTCTCTGAAATCCATAATCACGGCTTTTGTAACAAGAGCCCACCTCAGATTTTGCTTTGAATTCAGTGAGGTGTATCTTTGTAAATGTGGTCAGTGTGATGTGCACACTAATAGAGTTCGTGTAGTCACAGATTACAATAATACTTTTACAGTATTGTTCAGCATTGATTTAAGAAACTCATCCTCTGACAGAGGACACTGACAAAGGTTGCTGCTTTGTATTTGTGAACTCTGTGGCTCTGTTCAGTCATTGATTTTTCTATGATGGCTCTTCAGCATTATAATAAACTGAGACAGATGGAGCCTGTCATTCTCGTCTTTGTAACAGGTTGTCTTTACCATCTCCATATCTTGACTTGTCTTTTTTGCTCATTAGCTCCAGTTCCAGAGACAGCCAGCTGGCAATTGTTTGCCAAGAGGAAGTGTCTCAGGATGAGACTTATGATGAAAATTTGAATGAAGACATTGAGTACTGTAGCGAACCAAGTCTGCTCTCTACCGAAATGTGAGCTTTGCAGCTTTAGTCAAGGTGTTTGGGTGGTTCTTTGATTAAGGGGGAGAGGTGGGAAGAGGTGACCTTTTTCAATTTATGGGATAAGGTCAGAACTGGCAGTTCAGCCCTAGAAGTAACATTGAAAATAGTATCTTTCACCTAGGATTTTCTTTCTCTGAATGAGACATCTGGATCTGCAGGGCCTTCCTCCACATTCCATTCTACCACCTGATGTTCCCAAATCTCATTTTTAGAGGGGTTCTCTGTCTCATGGTTGTTACTGCTCCTGGACCAGTTATAGCTTGAAGCTAGCTCACTATTGCATCCTTCTGCTAGCATGATCTTCCTGGCTTCCTTGCTGGAAGAGGGGTTATTCTGTCCAATATCAGCTGCTTCTCTAAGTCCCTCTGTTCTCCTTTCCAGGCTTGCATACCAAGATGATGAAAACAGACAACTCACTCCACCAGAAAACAGCAAAGGAGAGGACACACGGCACTCTCCGAAGAAAGGGTTTCTGTGCTCCTCAGCACTAGGTAACCTCCCAGCAGGACACGGGGGCTGTGCTCTCCTCTGCCTTGGTGGAGTTCTCACATCTCGCTGGGGGAATCCCAGCCTGTGTGGGCACAGGGGTTGCTGTTTGCTGCCTTTGGCTTGTTAGAGCAGGAATCCCCCGGCGAGCAGATGATCCCGATCACGCACGTGACTCTGCTGACTTTATGCTCTCCGTCAGTAGATGAACCTGTGGCTGTTTGGACAGTCCATGTGATCTGTTTGACAAAGCCTGCCTGTGAATTAGAGGGGTTTATGTGAGTACTGTGGGCTCTCCAAACAGTCACCAGGGAGTCACTGAATGGGTTAGCCTTGAATATACAGAGTTCTGGTCTGTGTGTATTCAGCAAGGTGAGGTTGTCTCTGTTGTTTGCTACCAGGAACACAGTGAATTTCAGATTAATCTAACAAAACACAAATTTATTACCTGCTCTGATTGTACCTGGAGATTTTCAAGGGCTTGAGCCTGTAGACTACACAGTCAGGTGAAATCCATGAACCACAAGATTTTCTGAAAGTATTAAGACAAATGTAAGAGTCTGTGAGAAAATATTTTTCAGCCTTTTTCCTGAAGAACAAGAACATTGCTGGGAGAAACCAAAAAGAATCATGTATATAAAATATATTCCATAAAATAACAGTGACAGACTAGGCAGTGTAATGGTTAAAGTGAGGCTACTGAGTCTTCACTCAAACCCTTCAAGATGCTTGTACAATTGAGTGTTCTAAAAGCATTTATTTTATTTCAAATCTTAAAATATTAGGCAACAACAGTTCCTGTCTGTAAGGCAGTCAGTCCTTGATACAGTGCTTCATTAATGACATCCTAGTGAATATTTACACAGTAATGTCAAACTGATTTTACTTCTTTTTTTTTTTTTTTTTGTAGAAAGAGAAAATGCTTTTAACCTGCATTGTAACATTCATTCTCTGGGTTATAATGCAGCCCCTCCCAACCAATGTCCTCTCCAACCTCTGAGAGGACTTTTTCTCAACAAATCAAAATTATAGATACATACTAATTTCAGAATTCTAATTTTCTTTCATTCTTTAGAAAAATGTCAACAGGACCAAGAAGCCCCCAAAATATTTCAATGTGCCATGCAGTGTGTCATGCATTAAATCTTTAATATTGGATTTATTTGCTGTTTTCCAGAAATAAAGCCCTTGCGCTTTTTCATAAACATACTTTGCAGTACTTTTAAATTCTTAATAGGGAGAAGAATTTCTCTTATTTAGAGAAATAAAGTTTAATTTTATGGCAAGTAAATAATGCAACTGTTTCCACAGTTTCTCCTAAAATCTTTTTTCTCTTCCCCTCTTTCCAAACTTTGAAAATGCTTTATGTCTAAGTCACCTTCCATTCACCAGTAAATTCATCATTGATTAATTCACTTCCACTTGACCTTGCTATAGACACAGTCTCATAAACCGTGGTGTGTCTGGCAGCTAAGGGACACGGATCACATGCAAGCAGGAGGCCAATGTCACCTGAGCAGCCTGACATCCCCTTCTGCATGTTGTGGACAGCCAGGCATAGCTGGGCCTCAGCTGCCACCATCAGTCCTGACAGGGGCTTTGTCTGAACCAGAGAGGTCTGAGAACTCTTCCACTGTTCAAGAGGGAAGTGTTTTTTGAAAGAGGAAAAATAAAAATCATTGTTTCAAATTTTATCTTAAGGTAGTGTTGGTTGGTTCACGATACCTCGCTGATTTTTGCAAATACATGTGCTCTGGAAAGGTGTCGAGGGAAAATGGACAGAGCTGAAAATGAGGGTGCCTTTGCTGTATCTCCAATGGGACTGCACTAAGGGAAATGGAAAACAGATTACCTGTAGTGTGTTATGAGTGATGGACACAGTTGTGTGTGATTGCTCTTTCAGGTCGAAGGGCATCTTTTCACTTAGAGTGTTTGAAAAGACAGAAGAACCAGGGCGTGGACGTCTCGCAGAAGACAGTTCTGCCTTTGCATCTGGTACATCATCAGGTAAACTGAAACCCTACTCTCTGCAGTGCCTCCCCAGTGCCTCCCAAACAACTTTTTAAAAGCCAGCTGGGGTAGTTTCTAGACACACATCAAGGGTCCAATTTTTAGAAATCAGATTTGCCATCATGCTCATTCCTGCTTTCAGGATTTTTATCGTTCCCAGAAGAATGCTACAGGAATATGTCCTTTGCAGTCAGCAGAGTTATCATTTTCTGATGTCAGTAAAAGAATAAAATAAAATACCAGCTAAAAGATAAAAATAACTACCCAAATTGCATGCTGCAGTGCAATTACACTGGCTTTGATGGTAGTGTGCATATGAACAGAATGCACGGAGTCTACTTTCATATTAATTAAAGGTAACCAGTAAATGTAATTATTCATTTTAAACCATAATCTGATTACATGTCATTAATCAGCTTCTCAAGCCCTTTGTAACTGTGTTCAGCAGCCTATCAAATGTATGCTTAGGCACGTACCTAGATGATTAGCCAGCTGTCATACTCCAAAGCAGATTTGTGTCTTTTATTTTGATGATGCCACTTTTTGTCACCGTAGAAGGAACAGGTGCAGATGGTAGTGCCAGCCTTGCAAGGGTGGGGTCCTGCTCCATGCATTTCCCCGGGGCAGGGCAGAATGGCCTTGTCACCTCCTCTGCTGCCACAGGGGTACAAAATGCTACACAGCAGGGCTGGGAGAAGCGACAAGTCAGAGCAGAGGAGCGAGAGGGGAGCATGTTTGAGGCTCCCTGGCTTTTCTCACCTCCACTCCCAGAGAGTTATCCTTCAGTACTCAAGTTCCAGAAAGCCGTAGTCTGCAGAGACTTACAGCTGTGGCAGGGACAACCAGAACATGGCTTGGAGCAGGGAGGAGTGGGCAGGAAACAGCTTCTCACACTCAACACAGCAGTAACAGCCCTCCTGAGAATTCCTGCCCGCCCATGGCAGGCCAGGCAGAGGGAACACGTGCCTCCCACCCTCTCAGCCCGCCCAGCTGGCAGAATCAGCTCCCTCCAACCCATACAGATAGGATGGAGCTATTTCATCCCTCCTCGTCCCGCCACAAAAACCTAGAGGGAAGAGGCTCTGTCCACCCAAGTGTCACTTAGCCAGACTGAAGGGCTACCCTGCAGTGGGCATCTGGCCTTCAGCTGACAACACTGAAGACCTGGCAGTTTAAGGGATGTGCTGAGGCCATCACAGCCTGCAGGGCATGACTTATACTGAGGGATTTTTAAGGGCTTTCTTCTTCATTGAAATCTGATAGAAGCCTGACATCTAATTCCTGGGAAAATCTTGGTGAACTCTGTAGGTGACTTATAATTAATTCTTTTGTTCATCTGTCACTGAAGTCATCAGCACAGCATAGTTATCAGTTCCCAAGGATTTCAGTGGCAGATGGGCTGAGCTTCACTTAACATTAGATAGCTTAAAGTTAGCTCTCTAGTTTAAATTGGTCATTTCAGGCCCACTGTAGTCAACAGCAGGAAGGAGCATCTCCAAAGGGCGGGTTTAAGTCTTGTTTAAGTCATAGAGAGCATTTTCAGAGAGAGCATTTTCAGGCAGGGATTGAAAAGACAGGAGGCTTGCCAGTGTCTCTCTACACAGTTAGCTTAGACTACACATGGAGCCTTCAGATAGCTGAAGCTGGGTGAGACTAACCCCAGCCTGAACAAAGGGATTTTCTGCAACACAATCCACATACTCTTGTATTTTCTGTCCGTTTATTCTATTGCTCATACTGGGCTGCAGTGAGCTCTGTGAGATGATCTTACAGCTCTGACAGTATTGCTTATAGAACAAGGAGGCAGTCACCATGAATAAGGCATCAGATCAGCCCTGTGCAACATGGGGCTTCTTGAGAAATTTGTTATAAAAGGAGGCTGGATGACTCAGAGGTGGTGTAAATGATTACAGGAAGGACTTGGATGGCTGACAGTATAATCATCAGATATTGATCCTCCCACCAACAGCAGATGCCTTAAAATCCAGTGGTGGATTTAAAGTTATTGCCAACTGCAGACATATGTAAAATTCACATCTGGTATCTGTTCAGGTTCCTCAGTAGACACTTAGAGAAAACACAGCAACTGGCAATAGAAGCTCACGGTATATGTGGGGGCAGTGGTGGGAAAATGAATTGCTGTATCACCCCCTGGAGAAGAGGTGGTTTTTGGCAAGGCTGTGGGGAGCAGGGCTGCATCCCTCCTGTCAATGCCATGGCTCCAAGGCCACAGAACTGCAGCTGTGAAAGTTTTCAGTCTGGTGCTTGGCACTAATACAGGGCACACCATTTAAAGGAAAACGAGTTTGCAGCAAACATCCAAACCCATCAAGGAGCTGGTGGCTGTTTTCACAAGCCTCGAGACTCTCTCCAGGCCTTTCTCGGGGGTTTCTCCAGAACCAACTCCTTCCAGCCCTGCTGCCAAGTGCAAGCTCTCACTCATCTTGCTCCTCCTCTGTCCGCAGGCATTAGCGGTGGCCGGCCTGAGTCCCCTGCTCCAGCGAAGCCATTCCCCCACCACGTTCTCCCGGCTGTGTGCTACGCCCCCCGCCACCCCCTGCAACCGTGGCTGGCCGCAGCAGACCATCCCGACCCTGCGCCTCGACGGGGCGGAGTCCACTGAGAAGCTCAACAGCAGCTTCCCGTCGGTGCACTGCGGCTCCCGGTTCCCCGACAGCACCGGCTGCAGCAGCCCCAGGAGAGCCAGGCCGGTGTCCCTCACCGTCCCCAGCCCGAGCGCCGGGAGCAGCAGGCAGTTCCACGGCAGCGCCAGCAGCCTGGTGGAAGCGGTAAGACCGCAGAGTCACACAGGGCACTGTTGTCAAGGCCGACTAGAAACAGGGCCCGTGGAAGGGCAGGGCAACACATACGTTGCTGCCCGCGATGCCAAGAGTAGGAGAGCCCATCTCCAAGCGGCCTAAATGGGAGATGGACCTCTGGGGAAAACACAGCAGCGAAGAGGGTTGTGTTAGAGGCGTGACAGGGTTGACGGCGCAGAGTACTAACGTGTGTCTTTGTTTCTGGTTCCCTGCCTGCTTTTGAAGGTCTTGATCTCGGAAGGACTGATGCAGTTTGCTCAAGATCCAAAGTTCATTGAGGTCACAACCCAGGAGCTCGCAGACGCCTGCGACATGACGATAGAAGAGATGGAAAATGCAGCAGACAACATTCTCAATGGTAACAGCAAGCAGAGCCCCAATGGCAACCTCTTGCCTTTTGCTAACTGCAGGGACCCAGGGCAGGACAGTGCAGGAGAGGAAGAGGAAGAGGTGCAGAACCCGGATTGTAGAATAAGTCAGGAGGAGCTCAAGGACAGCAGGATTTATATCAGCAGCCTGTAGTTGCCAGGGCTGGAAGCGATGCTGGTTTTTTATTTGTTTCAATGTTCCTAATGGGTTTGTTTCAGAAGTGCCTCACTGTTCTCGTGACCTGGAGTAACCGGAACAGCGTTCTTCATTCATTTCTGTTGGGACGAGTCGCAGAGTTGGGTGGTGTAAGAAAGCTTTTCAGGAGCGGATATAACCCCAGCACGTGTCCATGAAGGAAGAGTGAGGAGGAGGAGGAAGAAGAGGAGGAGAGCCAGCTCCCTCTTTTTTTCAGTCCCTGCACAAGGAACGACAACTGCCTCCGGAGCACGAAGGGGAACCTCAGCTTCCTGTGGATGGCCCTAGCCAAAAGGACCCTGCGCCAAACGGGTGTCTTTCGACTTTGCTTGTAAAAATCATTTTGCACATATTCTGTATGAGCCTCACCGTCTCCATAAAGCCAAGGCCCTTTGATTCGGAAGGAGAGGAAGACTTCTGCTGTGGATTCCCACGCCACGAGGGGGAGGAGGAAGCAGGAGAAGCGCAGGGGTGCCCGAGGGGCAAGCAGCGGAGCTGCCCAGCCCCGCCGAGACTCCCAGGCAGCGGTCCCTGCCAACCAATCCGAGTGCAGGCAGCCACTCCTGCCGACCAATCAGAGCTCGGGCAGTCACCTGCCAGCCAATCCGAGCTCAGGCAGCCTCCTGCCGGCCAATCAGAGCTCAGACAGCCAGCTATGCCAGCCAATGGGAGCACTGGCTCTGCGGTGGGGCAGAGCCAACCCGCCCCGCCCGTGTTGAGGTGGTGGTGGGCTCGTGTAGATCTCTTCTTGTTTTGCAGTTTGATATTTCCTTGAAAGCATGTTGCAGTTTTTATTTTGACTTTTTTTTTTTTTTTTTTTTTTTTCCTTTTTTTTTTTTTTTTTGAGGGAGGAGGGAGTGTTTACAGCGTTTTGTAATCACCTACCTTTTTTGGTTTGGTTTATTTTCACCTTTGCAAATGTTAAATTGGTTTGATCATGTTGTATTATTTAAACTGGGGGGGGGGGCGATTTCTCCATTGAAATTTGGTAGAAGTATAACGATAATAGACGAGTTTTACCAACCATTATGTACACCAAGAATTTGTAATTTTATTTACTAGTAACTGAAACCATTTTTTGTTGTTGTTTTATAATTTAAAGATAGTAGGCAATGCACTTGATATAGTCTTGCACATTTGAGTGATTGATTTGGGTTCTTTTTAGTGCTAAGTATATCTGTGAGTGTGGGAGCAATACGGGGTGAGTGTGCGTGCGCGCGCGCGTGTGTGTGTAAGTGCATGCAGCTCTCCACATCCTGGTTTGAGCTGCAGGAGTTCTGTATCTGGGGCCATTTGAATGCAAAAGCGAACCACTGTCTCTGCTTTGGAAAAGGGAATCAGTAACTTTGCATTTTCTGTTCCACAAGATATGCAAAAACAATGCAATAATATTAATTTTGAAAATAAAATTGTAAGTTGTGTTGGCATTAAAACTGTATAGAAAAAAAAAATTGCGGGGGTGGGGGGAAACTAAAAAGAAAAAAACCCCAGAAGGCGTTACGCTTCGATATATTCCGTGTGATGTTTTATTGCATTGACAATGTTTCTGTTGAAGAAACCGTTATACTTGAATTCAGGTCAGTTTCAGTATTTTTCAAATATTTTTTTAAAATGAATTGCAATTGTGCCAAGCAAAGATAATGAATCGAATTAAGTTTGTTTAAAAAAAAAAAGAAAAAAAAGAATCACTTCTTGTATATTTTGCTGCATGTCAAGTGAATCATTTCGTATTTGGAATGTGCCAAGCTTTACCTTTGAACTTTTAAGTGCTTTTCTACGTGTGGTTGGGGAAAGGGGTACTGTTTTTTTTTTTTTTCCTTTTTTAATTTGTACAATGAACAAAGTGTACCTGGTGTAAGTAACTATTCTGCAATCCACTGACAGGTTGAACGTTACTGATTTTGCATATCTTGTGTTCATTTTCCTTCTTCCTCACTCCCTTTTAACATGCACGATGACTTTATTGGTAGAGAATCTTTCTTCCCTAGACTGGGACATTTTATTCAGGCTTCATTTTCTTTTGGTTTTGCACAGTTTCTCTAAAGGTCTCGTCCCACTCAAGGGTGGCAAGACCCCCAAGCTCATTTGGCAGATCCATCCTACACATTCAGCTGGCACCAGCAATTCAAGGAGCGAGGGAAAAAAATCTGCTTTCAAAATTATTTAATTAGATAGCTGACCCTGCTCAGTTATAGCAGTGTGCTGGGATAAGAAATGCAAGAATCAGAATAATTAGCAAAGTACAGTTATCTAACTCTGGCCTGGACTGAAAGCAGAGGGTAAGTAAGTGAGGGAGGGAGCTCTGTTGCAGTTTGGTCAAGATGCAGATGCTGAGTGACTTTTGGGTGTTCCTATGCATAGCATAGTCTCAGTCCTTTTCCCAGACTTTAGTGGATGGGTCAGATTCTAAGCCACAAAACATCTGACAGCATAGCTTGTCCCAGCCAGATTTCCTGACTAGTGCATATGAAACTGTCTTTTGTCACATTGATACTCAGCCCTAACCCATGAGAGAGGCTGAAAAAAACAGGCATGTATTGTTAGATTTTATGCAACTGATTTTTGTCCAGGCTATTGCTGTTTTTCCTCCCTTCTCAAGATGGTTCACAAATTTGCAGATCAGTGCTGAGTTGGGTGGTGTGATCTGACTCAGATCTAAACTTCCATTCAAATCTTGAGCTTCTGCAGATGTCCCAGAACACCACTTATTGCATACTTTGATTGCATTGTTTTTGTAATGCTCTTGTTTTTCTTCTTGATTCTCTGGGGCATAAAGGAGAAATAGCAAAGGGTGGTTTTGACAGTACATTTTTTGAACCAGCCAGTATCAGCTCAAGATACCTTCACAAAAACCCCAAGTACGTTTAAACTAGAGAAATACAAATCCATTTGTACAACCGTCTGTCATCAAAGTCATAATTCAAGACTTCTCTGGAGAAAGTATCCAGCTGATGTCAGTCAGTCTCACCCTTTCCATCCCTTGTGCCTGTATCAAGATGGGCACACAAGTGTGTCTCCCTTTGAGGTTGCTGCTGCTAGTGCTGATATGCTCCAAAGGTACTTGAAAGGAAAGAATGCTGTGCCTGGCAATGTAAGGGCTCCCTGTCTCATTTTCTTCCACTAGAAAGTCCATCTGACTCTCCCAGGGGGAGACAGAAGGTCTTCTCCAGTCCTGACAAAAAGAACACTTAATCTAAATTAGTGGTGACAAAGGGCATTTTGGATGTTTGGCAATCCGTGTCATCCCTGAGGACTTCTTGATGGGAAGGAAAATGGCAGAAATTATTATGCCCCACACACATTCCTGGTGAAAGCTGCGACTTCCTCGGGGGTCAGAGCCTACAATGTCCTGGGGAAACTCTGCTCTGTCCTAGGTCCTGCAGAGTGGAAAATGTATGGCTAGCAGAGAATGCACATGACTTTTGCAGTTTCAGGGGCAGATACTCAATTTAGCAATTGCTGGTGCCAGCTGTGCAAATTTCTCTTTCTGGGGAGGGCGGCATTTTTATTTATTTGTTTTTCATTTGAGGTACTTCCAATGTGCACATTGTGACAGGCCTGAGCAGAGAGCTACTGCCTCCTTCAAGTGAGGCAGAGTCTGGGGGACAGTGGGAAGGAGGAGGCAGGTTTAGTTCCTGGAGTGTTTCCCTGTGTATGGGAGTGGATGGTGGGTATGTACAATCACTGTGCTGTGGATGGAAGCTTTGAGGGAACTGATGGCTGAGGAGTGGCATGGAAGGAAAGGAAAGAACGGGGAAAAGAAAACAATCTGCTGTTTGCCTGAGCCTCTCTGACTTGCAAGAGTACACTGCAGACTAAAGACATTTCTTCTAAAACAACAAACCTCTTCCCTGTATCACTCCTGCTCATTAGTCCAGACACTACTGGGCCAGCCACACCGGGTGCATTTCTTTTTTTTTCTTCCTTATTTCTGTGTGGCTGACTTGATGGGAAAGAAAGCGGAACTCATGATCCAGAGCTGGAGTTTCGATATCCACAAACCTTTTGTGCATCATCTGCCTCTTCAGCTGGACATGTGGACGATGATGGTGTAGATGCTGCTGCTACTGCAGGGGTCCCGCCTGGTTTATTACCCTGCCCACCACACCCCAGCACGGAGGGACAGCCAGAGAGGCGCCATGTACAGAATCGCATCTATTTCTGCTTTGTTTTCTGACTCAGAACCCTGCCCCGATGACTACGACAACAACGACAACAACAACAACAACAAAGAAAGGGCAAATGCATTTTTTACATTTCTTGATAATTTCCAAAGCAATGTATCATTGCTTTCTTTAGACTGACGCCAATATAACAGTTGTATGGGTCTCAGCCAGGCTCCTGTGTCTTTTCTGCCTGATAGTTTCAGATTGCTGTATGGAATGTATGCGCGTTTGCACACAGACACGATCACACGGGGTGGCGGCACCACGGGCCCGTGGGGTTGCTCACCTGTGTCACAGATGAAGTTGGAGGCCTTGCTTCGTACGTGTAGATGAGAAACCCCGACCCACTGGTCCAGTGAGCTGAAGTGAAGCAGCCCTGCTGGAACAGAACTGAGTATCCTAAGATATATGCATGGTCCTGTTGTGACTGTCCCCATGGCAGGGGCAGGGTGGGGGAGAGGAACACTGAATGGGGAATTTGGAGCACAACAAAGTGGATATAAATGAAGTAGAATCCAGTTGGGGGTTTCTGGTAGCGGTGAGATTTTATCAGTTCTCATAATGAAAACTGTAGTGCATATAAAGAAAACATTCCAGGCCATCAGAAGCCCCAGTTCCCATCTTGCTAACATGAGGCTGGAGAGCACTAGAGGCCACAGAGGTTGTATTGATGCAAAGAATGTGGAAAACAGAACTGGGCCCTGAAAAATTTAATTATATTTTCCCCCCATTTATTTTCTTCTTGAAAGAAGTCTAAGAAATATAATTCTCAGTAGCTGCACAGGGTTTCTTTTTTTCTTCTTCTAAATGCTGCAAAGTTTTTAAAGTTTTATTTTGGGTGAGCAAGCCCAGGGATCCAGAAGGTTTCCAGAGGGATCTCATGTCTGTGGAGCTTTTAATCCCTCTTCCTGCTTTGTTTCTGGACAGCTGAAACCACTATGGCCTTGCTGCTAGAGCACCCTGAGGTGGGGTGGGTGAGGGCAGAAGCACAACAAGAGACTCGCCCTGGACTGAAAACAGATTGGGCTCCAATTGCTCTCAGAGAAGTCAGTAGCATCACACTGGAATGGAAATAAAAACAAACAAACAAACAAACAAAACCAAAAAATAACAAACAAAAAAACCCCCACAAACCTCTTCTGATACAAACTTTAGTGTTCTAGTTAAATCCTCCATTCTTCCTCTGCCCCTTATGGGGAGCTTAGCTGTAAGCACTTGAGCATAAAAACCAGGCCTTCTTTAGGGGCATAGGGCTTGACTCAGTTGTCTAAATGTGGGAGTCTCCTGTCACCTGAGATACCCTACAGTACCCTGCTGGGTCTGCAGCAGCTCATTCAGAAAGGCACAACTCTGCCCCAGGCAGGGCTGGTGTCACAGCCATCAGCCCCAGTAGATTGCAGAGACCTCAGGTGGCCAGAGACAATTAGGCAACTTAATCAAGTCCCTTTCTAAAGGGCTAACTGAGAGGAGCAGCACCTGTGACTGACGTAATGAGGGAATCTTCATTAGCATTACCAAGGGCTTAGTTAGGCAGGATCAGGAGCTTGTCTGCACACTCCCATGCTGTTGTTTTTCTACCCCAAGTCAGGCACACAGCCTCCACTCTGCTGAAGTTAGGCCAGGTTTAGCAGCCCAGTAGAGCAGGGGCAAGCCCAGGCGAGAGCAGGCATCACCTCCACCCAACAACGACTTTTCCTGCCAGCGTTCAAGCAGCCCCTTTCCAAAGCTTTATCCTATTCAAGACAGACCCACAGACACCATTTGCTAGCCTCTTAATTTGGATGAAGAAATACCTGTGTTTTTCTGTTAGCTCTTTCCCAAACAGGCTTTTAGTATTTTAAGCATCCTGAGTCAGTCTGCTCCCATCTCAAGCACCTAGGTAGACTGGCAGCCAATACTATCTAAATATCATCAACTTTATGATTGCTCATAGAAATGATTGTTTCAAGCTTATTTAGTCTTGACAGTTTGAATGTGGGAAGATTTTGGAGGAGGAGGAGTGAGGTTGTAAATATCTCTTTGACAAACATTGCTGCATCACACACAAAAAAATAAAAGGGGGAGATACTTATAAAACTGCCTTAAAAATCAATTCTGAATGATGGCATCTCCCTCCAAACAATTGCCACTTGACAGAGCAAGGGATGAGTCACTTTGGGTGAATTCTGGCAAGAAGCAGTTGGAATCTAGTCCAGTTTCAGGAGTGAAAGTGTAATTTAGGAGCTGATCTCTCACTCAGTCTGAATTCACATCAGCACCGATGACTGAGCACTGCAGGATCAAACCAGTTTAAGGTCTGGGGATGCTGTATCTGGCCTGCACCTTCGTGGTTTGGGTGTGGCCCAGCAAGGTACCGGTGTTTCCCAGTGACTTCAGGGAAGATGGGGTTCCTCAGCACCTCTTAAGTTCAGGCCCTGGAGCACCATTTCCTGCTCTGATCATCAGCTATAAATGTTGATAAATATAAGTGTTTTGCCTTCATTTGAATTGCCCAGAGCTGTAAAATGACCTCTCTCAAGTATAAATCAGCCCAGATATAAACCTCCTCTCCTGCTCTTCCCTACACTCCTTGCCCACCTTCCCAGCCCTCCCTTGCACCTCCACCCAAGCCCTTCCCTGTCTCAATTCTTTACCTCCTTCCACAATTTTATATCTAGTTTTCATGAACCCACAGAAATGCTTTTGTAAATAATGCTGTACAGTTTGTAATCGTCATGTAAGCCTGTCATCAGTGCCAGAGTCCGTCTTGCCCTCTCGCACGTTTTAAAATCAACAGAGGAAAGTTAGAGTGAGTGGCCCACCAGTGAGCTATAGGGTCATCTCTGTGTGGGACAAATGTATATTCCTGTAAGATTGCATTTTTATCTAAGGAATGATGTTATTTTAAAATTGCTAATAAATTTCTAAACAATGTCCAGATTTGTTTAATATCGTAAATGTTATCAAAACTCCTTTTGACGTTGCTCCCTTCTCCCAGCAGTGGCTGAAAAATAAGACAGGTTCCTGCAGCCCTTTGTTTCCCATCGGCAGCCCTGCTGCCAATCACGGGCTCCCACCTGTATTTAAGGGGCTGCAGAACAGTCTTGACAGTCACAGCCTGCCTTGATAAACAGTAACTTAGGAAATCCAACCCCTCTCTCTGCTGTTGTCACCACAGAAATCCTGCTGTGTCATGATGTCCAACGTGTGACTCATGCGTAATCACACACTTAACGTTTTCTCCACTGGGTTCCTTTTTTACCAAGCACATGCAACTAAAAAAACGAATGCCCGCAGCTTAAATACGGTGTAATCAGTATATACATAAGCCATGAAGCTAATGGGATGATAACAAGTAACATACCACGCATTTACTTTTCGATTGAACAAACGTGTTCTACCACGGTTATCAAGCAATTACGCCGCAGTGCCAGCTGAGCACTGCCTTTCTGTCACAGCACTGTAAATCACAGTGTACTCAGCCCAAGTACAGCATTTTAAGATTGAGTAAAATAATGCCTAAAGAAAAAAATAATGGGTTTTTTTTGTTGTTTTTTTCAGTTATGTGTATATATATATTATTTTTCCCCCGACTCACACACAACTGTAAGAACTGCAGGCTTTGCTGCTACTATTAATTAGTGGTGGCACAAAATGCTAAAACTCAGGAGTCGATGAAAACCTGTGGATGTCATCAGTGCTGGGTGTTGGAATGGCAGAACGATCACCAACAGAAATCTCGTTATCTGCAGGCTCAGACTGGCCATCAGTCAGACATTTGCCAACGCAAAACCATACGAAAGTGCTGCGGCTGGTGGTCAAAGCCCAGCATACGGTTCAGCTTTGCTAAGAAACACCCTGAGCTGGAAACTCGGCGGAGCTCCCTGGGGCTGGGCTACGGCTCTGTGTGACACCATGAGGTGAAAACCGTGGCAAAGCGGCTCGTGGGCGTGTTGCAGTGTGAAGAACAGCGCGAAACCTCGAGTGAAACCTGTAAGGCAGCTGAAAAGGGGGGAGAATCAGGAACGAGTAGCAGGTTTCACAGCCCCGTGCGAAGTGGTCGCATTTAGAACAGCCCCTCAACAGGAAAAGCAAAGCACACACCTATACTGCGTTTTATTCAGCAGCTGCACACTGCTGCTGGTGTCAGCTTTCAATGCTCACGGCATCTACCTGAAGCCAGAGGCGCGCACCGGGAGTTTCACCTCAGAGTGAGGAAGAACTTCTTGAGGGGGCAGCGCCCTGGCACAGGCTGCCCTGGCACAGGCTGCCCTGGCAGGGTGCGGAGTCTCCCTGTCCGGAGACATTCCCAACCCTCCCGGACGCGGTCCTGTGTCACCTGCTCCGGGTGACCCTGCCTTGGCAGGGGGGGGTTGGACTGGGTGATCTCCGGCCCTGACGAGTCTGCGACGATCCCGCAGACCTCGGGACCCCTCGCGAACGCGAAGCCAAACCTCCCGGGCAGAACCAGGTTTGGCTGCCTTGGGGGAAGCGATGTGCCTGGAGGGGCGGAGCCGCTCGGGACTCGCCCAGCCCGGCCCGGCCCATCCCGAACACCCGGCCCCACATGGCGGGCGGGGCTGGGGCCCCGCGGTCCCGCCTCAGCACCGCCCCGGCCCCTCCTCAGGTGCGGCCGGCGCCGCCCCGCGCAGGTCGGGGCCCGGAAGGCCCGGGGCAGCGGCGGCGGCGGGAGGCGATGGCGGGCGCGGGGTCGCGGCGGCTCCCGCTGGGGCCGCTGCTCCTGCTGCTGCCGCCCCTCCTGGTGCTGCCCCCCGGCGCGGCCCTGCGGCTGCTGCTGGACGCCGCGCCGCCCTTCACCTGCTCCCAGCCGGTAAGCGCGGGCAGCGCCCGGGAGCGCCGCGGCCCGGGCGGGGGCGACGAGCCGGGAAGTTGGGATGGGGGAAGCGGCGGCCGGCGCGGTGCCGCTGTGCCCGGGAGCGCCGGAGCGGAGCGGAGCCTGGGAGCGGGGCAGCATTCCAAGCCCCGCAGGATCCGCCTGGCCCTGCGATGGCCGCCGGGAAGCGCCGGTCACTGACATCTCCGGGGGGGCCGGGACGGGCTAAAGGCGCCCGGAGTCACTTGGGCAGGATGTGAGTCTTTGCTAATCGCTGGCGTTGCTTCACGTCCTAAAACGTTTTAAAGCTGTTCCTTGCAGCTGAGGGTTGGTTTTTTTGTTGTTTTTTTTTTTTTTTTCTTTTAGGAGAAAGCAGGGAATCTCTTGTGGAAGCAGTAAGGAAACAAACATTACATGTGCTTGAGAGTTTTGAACGGGCAGGTTTTGGTTGCGTTTTTTTTCTCGCTGTTGAACCCAGGCAGAGAGGAGATGCAGATTTGGGGTCCGTATTAAAAGTGAACTAACCAACTTGAGCTAACTTGGGCACCCCAGAGTATGAACTCTGAGCTGGTCGCTCTCTCTCCTGGTTTTGGGGGTTGATTTGGATTTGTTTTGTCAGTGGTCATTGTTGGGTTTTTTCTGCCTAAGATACATGTAAAGAGTGGGTAGAATGAGGGAGGGAGCTGCTTTTGCTTTTTATTTCTGACAACGATAGCGGTTCGTGCATAAGCAGGAAAAAGGGCAGTTCTCTTCTAACCTAGACGGGTTTATATGTCATGGTGCACTTTCAGCAGTCTAGCGAAGGCAGCTGGTCAGGTGCAGCTATAAACATATGTAAAACAAAATCTGTCCTTTTGGGAGGAGAGCCTCTGTAATCTTTTCCTGTACATGTTTCCTGTTTTTTTGTCTAGTCTAACTTTCTGACTCCTTTCCTAATGTTTGACTCTATCCGTTCCTCTCTTTTACGTGACCTCCAGTCTGCTGCCTTCACTCCTATGTAAAAAGACCCCAAGAAAACAGACCTCTTCTGCAATTTTACTTTAGGCTGGGCATTGTGGAGTTATGAAATCCTAAATCTTGGAAAAGTGGAAAGAGGACATTACAATATTGCTTAGGCATCCTGCATAACCACGATATCCCAAACGTTAGTCACGTGGAGATTGAGAGAAATTATTAGAGAGTTTCTGTGAGTCCTTGAATGCTTGGGCTTTGCCTGACTGTGTCTTGCTGTCTTGTACCTCCTTTCTTAAGGAAATGCAAACCACAGTAACTTGTTGAGGGCTTCACCAATGCATCCCCAGCTTTCACTGAGGAGCTGTTTTGCCCCACGCTCTGGATGTGCTCACAGATCACTGAATGTGCAAGGCTGCTACTTTGGCCTTTTCTATCAAAAAGCAAGTTTCTGAAATGCAGATGCACTTATGAAAAAGGCATTGCCTTAAACCTACGAGGAGCCTCTTTAGAAGCAGTTATGAAGCTGCTGGCACAAACAGGAAAAACTACCATCAGCTGAAGTTTTGACAGTTGAAAACAGTTTCCCCTTCCCTTTCTGCTGGTTTCACTGTGCGGAGCGTGATTCAGTAACCCTCCCAACGTGTGACTGTGGTGTGGTTCAAAAGAGAAGCTGTTGCTGAGCACAGTGGGGGAAACACACTTCCTTTTTCTAATCCACCCACTGCCATTGCTGAGTTTTGCAGCAGGTCAGGGTGAGCAACAGCAGCTTTTTCAGCGGAACTCTCATGCGGCAGAGGCCGCTTGGGAGATGAAGTGGCGGAGGGAAAGTGTCACTTCAGTGTCGGTGGGCACCTGTAAATTGTGAAAGTAGAACTAAATGCTTGTTAACAGCTCATCTCACTAAAATGCCAACAAATGCATTTAATGGGCGTTATTCACCACCGCTCCATCAAACCTGCTCAGCTGTAGGGCCGAATAGCATAGCTGGAAATCCAGTTCCTTCCTATTATTTGAATATGTCATCTGCAGAGGTTTCTTTTCCTGTGTGCAGGGGAAGAACATCCCACAGCTTAAATACCCATCTGGTTGTTCATCAAGTGTTAAGTCACTGTGTTCAGTCATTGGGCTGTAGCTGTTTCGAGACATGGCATGCCTTGGTGTCCTGGAGGAATGCAGTGTTTGTAACCCTGCCATCTTTGAGGGGCTGCATGGTTGGGTCTCTGAAATCTGTCTTACCAGCTTGGTGGATATTCACTAAAAGTCTCTGGAGAAGAACTGACGTAACATCTATCATGAAGACGAGCAATAGTGGTTCGTGTGAAGAAGGCTCTACAAATGTGTTCGTTTTGCCTTTGCTATTGACTGGCTTCTCTCATTCCCCTCTGTGGCATCTTTTTGCTGTGTAGAATGTTGACATAAACTGTGGTCCACTTTGTGCTGCTTTCGAATTTGGATTTGATTTTGCTGAGAATTTATGTGAGGATGAGAGGAAAACGTAGAAACTATAGAGAAAAAATGCTTTAAAAAATCAAAACAATTTTGTAAAAGATGGTTGTTTCCTACCAGCCTTAAGCAAATTGCCCTTCAGCAGTTATATTCCTATAGTGTGATCATGTCCAATTGGTCTTTATTTCTTTTTACTGAGGAATAAGGAAAGAGAAACTGCAATAAACTTCAAATCATCCAAGCCTCAGTAGATACATAGAATGGCTCATTGGCAAGAGGAGGATTTCAGAAAGCTGGAGACCTTCCCATTCAGCAGCTACTCTTTAAAGGAAAACTGGACACTTGCCCAGCTCAACAGTGGTTTCTTGATAGTTACCACAGCATCCTGCTGGGAAATCTTGGCCTCGTGTTACTTTAATTGAATTGCTGTGGGATGATGCTGTTAATCAGTTTCTCTCTCTTTTTTTTTTTTTCCCAAATTCTTCTGATTCTCTGGGGCATATGGTCTGTTTGGTTTTGGTTGTTTTTTTTTTTTAATGTCAAGAGCAAAACAAAAATCATTTTAAAAAGAGTGAAGGAAACAGTTGCTTATCTTTCTGTGAAAATATGGCAAGTAAACGTGAAGACTTGACTGTGCCTGGCTTCTTCTGCTGATCGTAGTTTCAGCATCACCTCACAATCATCTGCTTCTCATATTGAT